TTTTGGAAACCTCAAAGTTTTATGTCTTATATTTATCCACAAACGAGTTAATTTTGAACGCAGATTATCAGTATTGTGAATTCATGCTTTTTGGATATCCCTAGAAGTTTGTTGCGAATCACTAGACCGTATGTTGTTTCATTTGAACCTCATTCTAATAACAAACTCCTACACCCCCAGGATCAGTAGTCTTTAATTATAGATATGCTGTTATTTGCCGTCTTTAACCCTATTTGCCTGCACGGTAATTTGTGATGACTCGACTTGTGTAATTTCACTCAAAATAAGCTCAAAACTTCATAGATCCCTCTGTTTTAAAGAAGAACACTTGACTTAATTACTGCAAGATGATGCAGTTGGTTATCATATATCGTTCGAATAACATCAGAGAGCCACGAATTTCTGCCTTTCATGTATCTGATTGCTATATTTTCAAGTATTTGTTTGGTAGGGATTTTGTTTGTGGGAAGCCGTGACTAGTAGGTTACAGCAGGTCGAAGATGAGGCAGTAACTCATCGAAGAAGACATTGCGAAATGGTCGCGCTGTGTCGTGAATTGGCAGAAGTTAGAATTCAAGAACCATTGGATCAGGTCCCAGTGGCTCAATGGTCTACGAAGTCGCTTGCCTTGAACCAGACGGTCCTCATTTCGAACTCCGTCGGGTATGTACTGATGAAGAGTCCCAAACTAGGACGAAACAGCTGTCCGGTACTCTGCAGGTTTTCCATTGGTTCTCTAACTGATTTTTAGCTCATGATGAAATCTTCCATACAATGTTATATTTTCACCGTGTCACTTTTTAAGAACTGACATAGCGTGAACTCTGCGAAGTGCAGTGGCTGTGTAAGACCAGATGTTAAACAGACGACATTAACAGCAGAAGTTTTCACTGAGTGTGTCTATCAGTAACTCTTGAAAGTTACTGTAGGTATCTTAAGCAGATCACATAAATCCAAGCAGACCTAATGTAGTTTTAGTTTTTTGGGCTCAATAAAATCCTAACTAGTGTTATTCGTCCAAATTGGCGGCTGTTTTTCTAACGGATTCTTGTAATAGTTTTAGTATTATACATCTTCCAAATTGAACATTCACGGTAAACACAAACTATATAATAGAGGTAAAAAATATTGAAAGTTTTACTAAAGCGTTTCGTTGAGTACTAGCAAATGTAGTCAGATACATTTATTTAAAAAAACTGAATCCCGATTTTAACTAGGATATTTTTACACATAGCATTGTGTAGACCACATAATCTATTTTCTTCAGACGTTGATGTCTGTCTGTCTGTCTGTCTACGACATAGAACTTTGCACATATGTGCGGCACTTCAAGTCGCCACACCCCATGTAGCACACAAAGCAAGAGAAAGTAGAAGAAATTCATAATAGAAACAGTAAGTTGATGTGTGAGACAAAGGAGTAATAATAACATAGAACGATAGAGTTTCATTGGAAATTATAAGTCACAGGGAGTGGATGCATCTGCACCATTGAGAACGATTTTGAGCCATATCACCAATTGTTTCCAACCATTGGTTTTTACTGTCCTGAGGACCCCAACCAGCCTGGAAGTCTACACCTTCCTACGTGGCTGGCTTAAACTAACTTGTAGATTTCATTGACTGGTGAGGCCATGTTTTGGTTTGACCGCCGCTAGCTTTCTTCCAGCCTGACCCTATGTCAGCTAACATTGCCCGTCGAGGAAGGCGATGACATGTCCTAACCATCTCAGTCGATGTAATTTCATAGCCTCGGAGATTGATTTCCCCTCTCACCTCTACCTAGCACTCGACCAAGGCCTTACCTCAATATTGCTCACCTTATTATACCACCACCTAACACGGGAGATAGAGCGCAGGCACCTATGATCAAAGACAGCTAATCTTTTCATGTCTTCCATCCTCAATGGCCAGATCTCACAGCCATAAAAGAGGACGAAGCGGACTGCTGAGCAGTACACCCGCCCTTTGTTCGATGGCCGGATATCACGTCTACGCCAGAGACGGCGTAAACTGCCATATGCGAAACTGGCCCTCTGTATCCGTGCGGAGATTTCGTCAGAGGTCAACCCGTTGGCGTTGGGTGATGGTACTTCCCAAAATAAGTGAAGCGGTCAACCTGCTCTACCACTTCGCTCCTTATTTCTAAACTAGGAGTCAGTGTAGTTCAGTCCTGTAACATCATCTTACATTTGACGGGAGAGAATCGCATGCCAAACACTTGTAGATTGTTGCTCAAGGTCTTCAGTAGACTCTACATTTTATCAGCGTCCTCGTCTAGAAAGACTATATCGTCTGTATAATCTAAGTCAACGAGATTATTCCCTGGTAGAAAGTCAATCCTTGAGTCTCTGAATTGAGTTAGGGTTAATTCCATTAGTACATCTATGATGAAATTGAATAGAAATGGGGATAATGGGCATCCCTGACGTTGATGCAATGCCAAAGTAATTCAAAATTTTAATGGAAAATCATTTTTGTGACGGGTAAATAATTATGTCCGAAGGTGGTAATTTGTTGCACATGGTGACCATTTATTAGTGGATTTCCGAAGGCTGCAGTAGTGTAGTTTACAACAATGTTATGATAAATGAAAAACCTGATCACCATCACAAAGGCGTTAAAATCGTGTTTATATGCCCAAAAATGTTCGGAATAGTTTAATTAAAGTTAAAACTCAGGTGGCACCAGGTATTAAGCCGCACTTAATATACCAGGACCGATGATACTACTTAGTTGTCTAGCATGAAGCAGATGGAGCGAGATTTGATTCCCGAACCCACTGGTTTGCATTTAGAGTCCTTAAACCAGTGATCCCCATCTCCCTTGCAATTCTCAAGTCAGCTTATCTGGCTGTCATATAGTCCGCTAACTCCAATGAACCCTATTAACCACTTTATGGGATGATCAAGACTGGTGTAAAAACAAATCAAAAGAAATTTGAGGATGCTGAGTCAACATATGCGAGTTCATTAGTTCACTAGAAGTCTAATATATTAAAGAAGCTATAAGTCCTTAGACTAGCATCTCAAGCAAAGAACGAATTAATGTTCCTTAACAATCAGTCACGATTCCATGCAGTTGGTAAGGGACTATGCCTTTTGTGTTCAGTCTATTTATGTTACACAGGGCTGCCGGAATCTGAGTGTTTAGAGTGAGGTTCGAACCCAAGACCCAATGATTGGAACGCGGCCTTCGACTCCGTGGATCGGAAGGTACTATGGCAATGTCTGACTGTGAAGGGAGTACCAAGAAAAAACATTGCACTAATCAAGGCACTCTATTCAAACTCACGTAGTCGTGTAAGGGTTTATGGGGAATTGTCATCTGAATTGATAACAACCAGTGGTGTCCGACAAGGATGTCCACTTTCCCCATTTCTGTTTAACTTCATCATAGATATGCTGATGGAAGTATCCTTAACTGAACGTAATGACTTAGGAATCGACTTGTTACCAGGGAATAGTCTTATGGACTTAGAATATGCAGACGATATAGTCCTGTTAGGGGAGGATGCTGACAAAATGCAGAGTCTTCTGAACACCTTGAGCAGCAATCTTCGTATGTTTGGCATGCGATTCGCCCCTACAAAATCTAAGATGCTGCTACAGGACTGGACCACGTCAACCCCTAACTTAGCGATAGGGAGTGAAGTGATAGAACATGTTGACCACTTCACCTACTTGGGAAGTTGTATTAGCACCAACGGACTGATTGGCGATGAAATCTCAGCAAGGATCCGAAAAGCTCGAGCTGCTTTCGCTGACTTACACCATCTCTGGCGTAGGCGTGACATCCGGTTATCAACCAAGGGACGTGTGTACTGCTCATCAGTCCGCTCCGTCCTTCTCTATGGCTCTGAAACATGGCCAATACGAGTTGAAGACATGAAAAGGTTGACTGCTTTCGATCATAGGTGTCTGCGATCTCTGTCTCACGTTAGGTGGTTTAATAAGGTAAGTAATGTTGACGTTAGGCGTAGAGTGTTGGGTAAAGAGGGAAAATCAATCGACGAGGCTATAAAGTTACATAGACTGAGATGGCTAGGTCACGTGCTGCGCATGCCTAACCATCGCCTCCCCCGACGGGCATTACTAGCTGATATATGTGTAGGTTGGAAAAGAGGCAGTGGTGGCCAAACAAAAACATGGCATGAATCCATGAAATCCTTGACAGTTAAACTGAGTCGGTCAGGTAGGGAGATGCAGACTTCCGGGTTGGGGCCCTCGGGACTGACTCTAGGAATCAATGGCTGGAGACAATAGGTGACATGGCTCAAAATCGTTGTCAATGGCGCAGATGTATTCAGTCTCTGTAATCTTTCATATTCCTTTCTGCCATTACCCATTCTGTTTCACTCGTATACTTGTCAAACTCTATTGATTCTCTTCACTCATCTTCTTGTCTACCTCTGTGTGCTATTTGGAACGTGGCAACTCGAACTGGTGCACTTCGGTGCCAAGTTCTATGTTGAATCCAGACAGACAGACAGATCGGAAGTTGAGCGCCTAGACCAATGAGCGACGGCTTCAACAGTCGCTTATCTTGTGCAATGTATTTCACAGTCGATCTCAATGTATAGCATTGCTTTAGTCTTTGCTGTCTTTAATTTTCTGTATTTCGTCATTATCTTGATTATATACTGCATGTTGTAGCGATACAAGCTGTGGTGACAAGTGGTTACGTCACTACAACTGTTTCCTCTATATTTAACTTAATCATTGTGTACCAGCTTTATGCGACAACCAGTCAAACCATTTATTCATCTCTGTAGTTAGCTATTGGTAGGTATTGTTTCGTCTATTGATCATATTTTCTCTCAGGTAATGTTGAAGCACTTATTTAACTTTAGAAATCACATGACCTACATTTCATACTATTGATTATTTACCATTTGTCTTGATTACTATCAAGGTTCCATGTTTCTGACTACTTTCTAGGTATTGTGTATAGAGGCTGTTGTGTAAACTTGTTGAGTTTTCATCCTTCAAACACCTATAAATGGCGAAAAATACCGGAGATACAAAATTCCGAAAAGTCGATGTTGATCAGTTAACAGAACCAACATTTCAAGATGAAACAATTGATGACGTAAAACCCTCCAGTATAAATATATCTGAAATTAATGATTTAATTACAAGTGGCAGATCTACTGATGCTATCTTAGCTATACTACAAAATGCACCGATTAACTCAAAAGATCAACAGGTCAAGGATACGGTATTTAAGTTGATGATGCGTTTGTTGTCCCAGTTTAAATCAAATCAAAATATTGATGATTTTTTGTCAACAATGGATCAAGAGAAAATTGATCTGTTAATGAAATATATTTACCGTGGATTTGAACAGCCTCAAGAGATTAGTTGTGCTACGCTGTTGTCATGGCATGAAAAGGTAACTGGGTTTGATTACGGTGAAACTGAAACAGTAAAGAATAAACACTAAAGTCAAACGACATCGAACCAACCAATCAGATCCCTCTTCGTAATCTTCTTTACAAGATTCACACTAACCCCAAGCTTAACGCTACTGTAAACCTACTCTAACGTTAACTGTGAATCAGGATGAAACTTGCAATGAAGATTATGAAAAACAGTCATTTGTATTACTGAACGATCAGATTGGTTGGTTCAAGGTCGTTTGACTTTGGTATCAATTCTTTACTGTTGCTGATTACGGTATTATTAATTACTGTATTACTAGAATGCTTTGAATATATCTATATTTATAAAAATATTCATTCTAACGAGAAATATTTTCGAAAAAACCCACAGTGGATTAACTTGATGTTATTGGGTGGAATAGAGGATGTATGTCACAATAGATTGATATCAAACTCTTGTATTTATTGCATGATTCGCACTTCCACTGAATGACGGTCCACCGTGAAAGTCAAGTAGTCTTTATTTAAACTGTAGATTCGTATTACTTTGTTTATTAGTTGTATCACACAGTGAAACATTATTATTTACTGGATGACATTTGGAACACAATTGATTTCTCTTAATCATATCATATCCAGTAAACAGGACTGTTTCACTGTGTGACACACCTATTAAACAAAAAATAATGTGAAATTACATACTACCACAGTGTCCAAGTTTTACACATACTAATTCACTTAAAAAACTGATCATTAGTTTAAAAATTATTGATATTAGGCAGTATTCAGCATACGTTATTTCATCTCACCTTAAAACTCAAGTGAATATCTGCTGCTAGCAGAAGTTGAATCCTCCTGAAGCCAAGAGGAACTATTTTGTCCTTGAAATGTTGCACACCTTTTGTTTTTTTGCATATGTCAGTTATCTTGATATGACTCTGCGCCAACAGAATTCACAATATTTACAATCGCTCTGAGCTTGTAATACAAGTTAAATTTAAAATAACTGTTTTTATAACTAAAAAAGTGCGGTGAAGCGAATGAAGATAGGGAGTAAGAATCACACATACAGCGAACAAAAAAAGATCATACACACAGCTGCGGCTTCTCCATGCATATTGCGAGGGCTTATTTGAGCCGATAACGAGCTCATATCATCGCACTAACTCATCGCATCAGAAAAATCTGCAGCAGCAATTGGGTGGAAGAGGAGCTCCTATTCCTCAAAAATATCCTGGCTCAAAATGGTTACCCGACACTTTTTGTCGAAAAGAACATGACACCTAAACCAAAAAGAGAAGAATGTGATTCAGTGCCAAAGAAAACGCTGTATCTGAATCTGAATTTCAGGGGAGATTTGGCAGCCGATATCCTAAAGAGGAGAATATCCAGCTTTTTAAAGAAGACCTTCCTTGCAGCAACACTAAGAGTGACATTCTCTAGCCGTCCAATACTTCGAAACAACGCGAAGGACAAACTCTCGCATGTGACCAATTCAATGTGCATGTACTAGTTCACCTGCTCGTGCGGAGCTAGGTACATAGGTCGTTGTATGCTCGTCCTTTCGAAACGTGTTAAAAAACATTACCCAGCGTGGCTGAAAAGAGGAGGCACCGGTTCAATCAGAAGTGCCATTATTGAACATCTGATCAACACCTCCCACAACATCTCAACTGATTCATTCAAAGTAATTTACAGAGTCAACAGAAATCCGACTTCTCTGTACTGCAGAAGCCCTCGCAATATGCATCGAGAAGCCGGAGCTGTGTTTAGAGGAAATTAGTCCAACCTCTACAACTACCATGGACCTAGTTCGTTATGTTCCCTTAGCTTCCGATTTTGTTTTTGATCTTTTTTTGTTCTCTGCGTGTGTGATTCTTACTCCCCCTGTCTTCATTCGCTTCACCCCACTTTTTCAGTTATAAAAACAGTTATTTTAAGTTTGTTTCCATATTTTTCCTGCTCACATTTATATTTCGTATAAAATAACTATTTTACAATTATATCTTAATCCTGTACAGGTTAAATTAACTAGCAACTCTTATCCCATGGTTTTAATTTATTTTTAGTGTACGGCTTTTTCATTCCTTTGCATTGTGAATGTAACGGAGTACCTGAAGCCTCAGCTTTAAAGTTTCACTGACGATGGTGTTGCTAGCCTCACACTTAACCTCTCTTCTATGCATGATTTACTACTGGCTAGGCGAGGTTTAGGAGTATATCAGCAGGGAATGGAACCTGAGCCACGTGTTTTGCTGGCAAACATTCTACCATTGAACCACCGATGCTAAGCTCAAGTTAATAGATTATGTTGGAATAGTTGTCTAAGATTACTGGATTCTTCTATAACAATAGCGTACAAAGCTGTAGGGTGTTTTTCACTTCAAGCCATGACATAATTGAATCACATATTACAGGCAGCATAATAGAGACAGCAAGCAGAGGTGTGAGACAAAGGAATAGTAATAACGAAGAACAAAACAGTTTCATTGGAGATCATAAATCACAAGGATTGGATGCATCTGCGCCACTGAGAACGGTTTTGAGCCATGTCACCAATTGTTTCCAACCATAGATTTTTACCGCCCCGAGGACCCCAGCCTGGAAGTCTACACCTTTCTACGTGGCTTAGACCAACTGTTGTGGATTTCATTGACTGGTGCCAAGTTTTTGTTTGACCGCCGCTAGCTTTCTTCCAGCCTGACCCTACGTTAGCTAACATAGCTCGTCGAGGGAGGCGATGGCTTGGCATACGTAACACATGTCCTAACCATCTCAGTCTTTGTAACTTCACGACTTCGTCGATTGATTTCCCCAGTTCTAGGTAAACAGGGGATATAAAGGGGCATAGATATAAAGGCGTGTTTGATGTGAAGTTTGATAATCTTTATAGGCTTTCTTTGACTTACAGATATGCCTTACTAGTATACAACAGCAAACTTGATTTGTATTCTTAGAGTTTCACAGAACTAATTAAAAAGTGAAGAGACTGTTTAGGGGAAGTGCTATATTTATTTTACTATATTCAAGCATCCTTTTTAAGTCACAATGTTCTACAAAATGTCTTTTTATTATTTACTTTCTAGGTTTATACATATGGAAAGGCTGGTTCAGTTGTACGCGTCTTGACAGATCGTAAACGTGTTTAACAGAGCAGCAGGGCTGCTGGCTGTGTGTTTGATTCTACAAACTCTTTTGTTTTATTTACACTTTTTTTTAAAGAAACAAATATGCAATCATGAAGTGAAATATCCCAACTGTGCTTTCATCTAAACTCTAAACCATAGTGTGTGTGTGTGTGTGCGTGTTTAGGTTGATAAGAATGTCTTCTTCTTTTTTCTCCAACGAAATTTAATTCACACTATACAACAACTACTTCTCACCTGATACCTTTGTTTTTTAGAAAAGTTTTTTAAAAATTTTATTCAGTCAGATAATATGAGAAAATAAACAGATACAAATAGAGGTCAACTCCTCCCCTTAGTTGTATTTTTGTTGTCTTACAATGGTTATCCTGAAATGTAGTAGTATTGATGGGGATTACTTCAACTTCATTCAAGCTATAGGCGTAGAATTCAAGATGAAAGAACCACACTTATAGAAGCTGCAAAAGCTTAGAAAATTAAGATGTGAATCGTTTAAACCCACTCACAGTGTCCCTGCAGTTACAAATTGTTGACTAAGTAAAGTCTATTTAGCGTAGCGGCTGAGTTGTATAATGTTTCAAGTGGGTATACCTCACTTGCATATAATGTGATGACTGAAAAAATGAATAAATTGACAAAGCTCGTGTACCATTCAGCCGCTGGGACCCGATCCAGTGGCTCATGAATTCTAACTTCTACCAAAGGAAAATTAATCTGATGTTCGCTAGTGACTTGCTACAGGATGGAGTTTCTTAGAGTTCTAGTGAGAAGTCGTGACCAGTGAGGTCCAATTAGATGTCACGTGTGTGGATGGATGTCCCACCAACGAGAATGGTTGGGGTCGCGCTGAATCACGAATTGGTAGAAGTTAGAATTTATGGGCTGGCCATTGAATTGGGTCCCAGTGGCTGAATGGTATATGAGCCAGCTTGCCTTGTAACCGGAAGGCCCTGGGTTGGAACCCTGGCAGTGGGTGCATACTGCCGATGATTCCCAAACTAGGATGAAACAGCAGCTGTCCAGTACTCCAGTGCTGGTTTTCAATGGTTCTCTAACTGATATCAATCCGTGATCAACTCGTAAAAAACATATCAAACCCTTCCAAACCAAACTGTAGAAAATTGGTAAAGTCCCATGATTATAGTCCGCTGCAATTAGGAATATCATTGATGACAGTAGGCAACCTTGTCGTCGTACTTCTTCACTTCTTGTTGTGAGTCGCTTGGAATGTGGGATCACCGCATAGCTTTTGAATAAGGTATGCAAAGGTTTGGGGGCACTCTGTAATGTTGAAACACTTTCCATATTACTTCAAACTTTTGTCAGCAGTTGCCTTTGCTCGATAGTGAAGTTAGATGGTCTGGTAATGAACCAACCAAGAGCCTACCACTCAGTATACATGCCGAAGGAAAGAGAGATTGATTAAACACAATCGGAGAAGAATGTTGAGTGATATCGCGCGCCAAACAAGCTCCCGAGTGAAATCACTATGGAGAGCGATGAGTTTGACATTAATCTGAGGGTGACATGGAGGAAATCATGTGAGAAGGGAATGAAAGCCTATGGGCAATCGTTGAACCAGATGAAAATGACTGCAGAGAATATTAGTGAATTAGAGGTGTTCTGTTGAAGTACTTGGAACCCAAGGGAATAATAATAATAAGTTGACAGATTAAGAATATGCCCAAAAGTCAAGATAAATGCAGTATGAATGAGTCCGCCTCGCTGCAGTCGATTTTCAGCCACATCACTTAGTGTCTCCAAACATATGCTCAGGCTGTCCGAGTTGTTGTGGTCTCGTATGATTCAATGATATGGTAGCAACTAGCTGTATTCCAACTTAATGTTTCATTATCATTCTACTTTGCAGTAAGTGGTGTTCATGCACGCATATCCCAGACATCTCAGTCAATAGGTTTATTCCTTCACTCTAGGGGTCGCGCTAAATCACGAATTGGTAGAAGATAGAATTCATGAGCTATTGAATTGGATCCCAGTGGCTGAATGGTATATGAGCTTGCTTTGTAACCGGAAGGTCCTAGGTTCGAACCCCGGTGGGTGCGTACTTCCGATGATTCCCAAACTAGGATGAAACAGCAGCTGTCCAGTACTCCAGTGCTGGTTTTCAATGGTTCTCTAACTGTTATGAATCCGTTATCAACTCGTAAAAACACAAAGAACCCTTACAAACCAAACTATAGAAAATGAACTCTCAGTGCTTACACTGTTCGCATGACAGTGCTACCCCAGAGAAGGAATACTGACCAATCATCTAAGTCTTTAAACTCATCACTTTTCAGCAGTTGTTTTACGAGTAAACAGTAAGGTAACGCATTAGTACATAATACACTTGCTCTCTGATTAATAGTAAGACATTTTACCGACATTTCAAACGTTGAAATCACACACAGTCAAGTTAGCCTCACTTATGAGTCCTGTGATTTCATTAGGTGCCGATTCAAAGGGGCTAACCGCATGAATCGCAACAGGCTGAATTTTTAGGCTATTTATTCTATTTAAGTTAGTCATTCTACGCTTATTGAAACCCTCCAATTTCGCGATGACCAGACTAGTCCTGGTTTAACTTGCTTAATTTTCGTCGTAGTCACTGCATTTAGATTACTTACTGAGTCATGCGAATACAATCTCCAAGCCTGTGCACCTTGTTTTTGAGAGAGTTTATAACTTTGTAAACTGCCTTAATCCCTGTCTTGCTAAGAATTCTGCCTAGAGTTTGAGATATCGTCTGCTTATATATAAGAACACTGAAGGCCTTGAATTCTCTTATTCATACTACAAGTCATTATATTGTTACTTCTCCCTTTAGGCTTGAATCTGGTAAATTTCTGAGTGAGTTCTGGAGAATTGTTTTTAATAGTCATGCTCCTCTTATGCGTTTTATTATTTTTTCTTGTTCCTAGCGTCCCTTTATTTCGGTGGCTTAGCTATTTAACCAAGCCTGCTTTTACTGATGTAGGTAGGGTGATGCAGTCGAAACTCAAAATATTCAGTCGACTGGAACAAGTGTTTTTTACATACACTACAGTATACAGTATCATGTTGCTGTTTTATTTTGTAGTCTAATTATTGACATAGTCTTTATGACTTTTTTTCTGAATTAAAATTACACTTGATTCTGCGTTCTGCTGAACTTAATGCCTCATAAATTGCCCCTCAAAATTAGGCAAGGTTATTTTGTTTGAAATCTTCGGACTGGAATCCTAAATGTCTTTTGGTGTTTATTACCAACACTGATACAGTGGCTTCTTGATTCCCATTCTCCCACCGTTAAGCCTCAATTGAAGTACCGTTTGATTTTGTTGATATTTCAAAAATGGCCAAAAGTTCTCGGTAATTCCTACTTTAGTTCAGAGAATTTAGCTGCCTAATTAATATAATTGAGTGTGAATTAGGACGCAAGTTATAGTGGATCTCTCCCAAGATCTGACGTAAATTCCACTGTATTAAAAATTCCGATTCATGTTAATATTTAAGAATCTTGTCTACATCACTGTTTTCAAGATATAGTACTATAGTCATAATTGTCTTCACCAGAGAATAATTAATCAGCATGTGTTTACACATCGAGAGGTGATTTGGCAAATACTTCGCTACTACGGGGTGCCGCCGACAATTATCCATCTCATCCAACAGTTATACGACAATGCTGCATGCCAAGTAATCCACAACGGGAAACTTACGGAATCCTTCCAAGTGAAGACGGGAGTAAGACAAGCTTGCTGCCTACTATCGCCAATGATTTTCCTGATTGCAGTAAATTGGATAATGCGACAGACAGCGGGCAACGAGGAAACAGGCATAAAATGGACCCACACAAAAAACTTGGGGGATCTGGACTTCACCGATGATATATGTCTGATTTTCAACGAACTGGAAGATGTGCAAGTGAAAAGCAACAAGTTGGCAGAAATAGCATCAAAGATAGGACTTCAGATGAACAAAGAGAAAACAGCAACAGAGATCTCAGGCAATGAGCTAACCAATCCAGCAGGAACCAACTGTGCAATAAATATGCAGGAAGAAATTGAGATGGACTGGCCATACTCTGAGGAAACCATCAGGTGACATCACTAGACAAGCCATTGCTCGAGTGGAACCCGAAAGGGAACCGGCGAGTTGGTCGTCAGTGCAAGGGTGACTTGGGGAGGTCATGTGAAAAGGAGATGAAAGTATGTGGGTAGACTTGGAGCCAGGTGAAAACTCTAGCAGAGAACCAAACGCAATGGAGACGCGAAGCTGAAGCCCTATGTTCCTCTAGGAATTAAAGGAAATAATAATAAATAATGTTTTTACACTCTTTTTACATCCCAAGTGAAACAAAGGACTGCAAACTTCAGAGTTTCAGTATCGGTTTTTGTTTTTTTACTGGGTGGATTTGTTAGCATCATACCCAACAACGATGCCCTCTTTCTCAGATTAACTACCAGTCAGTAAACGAGACGAAGTTTAGGACTGCGCCGATGAAAAATGGAACCCGGATGTTTGGTTGGTGAGCAATTTAACTTTGAACCACAGACGCATTAAAATCTTCACCTGTTCAACCATTTACTAACACTACAGTAAGAGTATATTCATAATAGTATTTTCAGATGGTCGATTTATCTGAAAGGGATTTATTTTTATAGCATGTTTAGAAGATATCCAATGGTATTTCCTAGCGTGAAAGTTATCAGCTGCACTTTTCCTGAACTGTGAATGTAGTTCGTTATAGTGCTTTTGAGTTATTTCTATCCATACCTTTGTGTGTTGAATGGAGTATGGTAACTTGAACTGCTACATTTCTCTGCCAAGTTCTATAGTGAACACTCAGTCAGTCAGAATATAGTTGTCACATCACTCTGAGTAGTTTCCTGTGACTCTTAAGATTTTAGTTATCCATAAGAAGGTATCATTGATGATTTGCTTAATTTTTGAAAACTGTCAAGCTTACAAAACTCCAAAATTGGATGGTTTCTAGACATTCAGACTTGCTCTTTTTTCATTTTGTTAAAGTCACAGTGAATATCTTCGAAATATTCTCTTATCGGTATGTTTTAACGTCTATTTTTGTTGGTTTCACATATAATAGTAGCTAATTAAGATGTTTTTAGTTAATCGCTTAGATTGTTAAGCTGCATCGATTAAGATGTTTAGGACATATGATACGCATACTTACCCCATCGACTTACTCGTTGAGCTGTGTTAGCAAGCCTAGAATTAGGTTGAAAAAGAGGTAGAGGTAGTCAAATCAGAGTGCTTGATTGTTGGTTTTAAGCACTTAAAGGGGGGGGGTTGTAGGCTGCCTAGTTGGGGTCTTTGAGACGCTAAGATTCAATGACGACATGGTTCGGAAACGTTTCCATTGGAGGTGAAGTCATTCTTTCTTTATGGATAGACTCTTAGATCCCTTAAATGATCATTATTCTCAATGTAATTACTTTCTCTTCTGTACGTTTCTGATTATTGTCTTTTCTCTGTATTTTGTCTCTGTCTCCACATTTATGTGTGCTTGACGATAGGTGACAAGTTGATCTTTTGTACTTCTATGCAAAATTCTACTCTGAGAACTCAGTCAACTCGTTTAGTTCTTAGTTCCGACTGCCTTTAATAGTAGTAAAGGGTGTTTTACTATGTAATACTGTTTTTAGGGGCTAGTTATGTGGTGCATGTACATTTCTAACGAATTAGGTTAATAGTGATAGCAATAATTTTTTTTTCTTTTTTTTTCGCTTATACCTTGATTCCACACAGTACTTTTGGTAGAAGTATGGAATTTTCAGCATGTGATATCGGTAGCCCAAATTTCACACGTCTACCATTGATATCAGATGTGCATCGGCAGGGGATCGAATCCCGGACCATTTGTATGGTCGGTGAGAGTCTTAACCGCTGTGCCACTGACGCACAAATAATAGCCTTATTCGAGGCAAAATCTTTATCCACTCTACAGAATTCTCAGCATAATTTATGGCATAATATTTCCTCCTCATCCAGGATTTTCAAGTGAAATAGCAGTCTATACTGTATCAAGTTACTCTGGGCCGTTCAATCTGAAGCGTAGACTAATCCCTCATGATATATTTCCTTCGTCTCCGCTTAATGTGAACCGTCAGTCTGAAAGCTAGTCGAAAAAATAAGTGAGTGCATTTTGCGATTCATAGAAGTAATTGAATTGTTAAGACACTTTGAACTACAGAAAATATGATGCATTGCGTCTGGTGGAAATTCAAGTAACCAAATGATTCAGACAGGTCGCCAAAATTAACTCATGTTTCTTCAAATGTTGGGTTTTAGACTTCTGTTCCACTGCTTAGTTATGTAAACCATATCCTATCATTTTTGAGTACGATATGTTTATTATTTATATTTTGTAGATGTATGTGTGTTTTTTAAAAGTTTTTCTTGAATTATATTGATCGCCAAATTGTCGACATTTGGCTGCCTTGAACAAATTCTTCAATAGCACTTTTAATTTCATTCTATGTTATGTGTTTATATCAATAGCTGAGAATGGGTGGAGTGTGCAGATTACACTCATGGCATTTCATTCATTTTTCGACTTTTCCGTCAGTTGATTGGACCGAAGTGCTCGGTCTCAGGTTGACATGTCGGCTTCTTGTGCAGATGCTTCGACGATGTTTGGGCATGTAATTAGAAGTTAGTTGGTAGATGGTGACTAGCAGTGGAATCCATAATGCGCATTTCATCCTATTTGGATCCCGTCAGCCGGATGTATCTTAATTCCGCAGTCGGTGTTGATGTTCCCACCGAGACTGGAGCCAATTACCCATAGTTTCAAACGTCAAAGTGTTATCCACTAGACCACTGGGGCCACGAGAGGCACCTCTTGTGCAACGGCTTATATTAATTATTTAATTCAATTTTAGATTTTCACGTCGATTGAAACTATGGGCACTGAGCTTGAGCCTCGGTGGGAATATTATCACTCACTGGGAGGTACATCCAGATGACGAGTCCCGAATAGGACGAAATGCGCATCCACGGATTCCATTGCTAGTCACCATCCATGGTAGTTTAAAAATGAAGACAAAGACATTTATTTCTGAGTCGCCTACTAATTAATATCAAGAAAAATTGAGCAATACAGAAGTTATGGTTGATTTTTCATTGTATTTCGTCCCAGTGGTTGAATAGACAACGACCTTACCTCTTTTCGATACATGTACAGAACATGGGCACTGTGGTAGAGTATAACTCCATTATGGATAAGATTTTTATTTTGATAGATCACACAATGTTTTACAGTGATATTAACTGATGACGTTTCGAGCACAAATTATTCCTCATAGTCATATCAAGTCACTCATGTATATAAATCAAGCGAAATGTTGTGTGAGTTACTTGATATGATGATTATGAGCAATAATTTGTGTTCAAAACGTCATCAGTTAATATTACTGTACAACATTGTGTAATTTATCAAAATAAAAATCTTATGCATAGTGGACCTTACCTCCTAACCGGGAAGTCCTGAGTACGGTCTTTGATAGGGTCATAGCTGTGTTCTGATGAAGAGTCCCAAACTATGACGAAGCGGCTTCCATTTCCCCTTGGTGTTCTATGGTTCTCTTTACAATCTAAAACTTGAAAGTGCAAACAATCGCCAATTTGGAAAAATAAATGAGCATAAAGTGGTATTTATTTGACAAACTTTCTGCTTCTTTTTCGTTATTTCACTTTACAAGAACACGGCTAAGTATAAATGAAGGTAAATTATTAAAAAAAGTGCCTAAGAAGCTGTTAATCTAAAAAAATATTCTTTCGATAAGTTCATGATAGCTTATTTATTCAATATTTACTAGTTATTTCGCATTTTAAAAAATTCACCATTTTAACATTTGCCTACTCATAAGTAGTCAAACGTAAAAACATTCAGTAAATTCTATACATTCGGCTTCTTGTCATAAAGTGATGGAATAATCACTTAAATATTCCATTTTATAATGTATTACAGTTATTTAGGCAAAAAAAATACTAAAACAAAGAAAAAGAGATTAAAAAATCGAAAATACCCTGCAATTTTTTTTACCAGAATGACAATAAATATGATGATAAATAATTCATGTTATCAGACTATTCATTATTTGAACACATTGTGCAGTAAGTGATTTTTCCATAATTCTGTACTGAATTAAATCTCCATCAATTAACTTGAAACGTATACCGTATGTTTGAAGTCTCGGCAGTTGTACGATCTCTATTTCCCATTTCAATATGGAGACTGTTTCATTATCATTGGTGCAATGCTTTAAAGTATGTAACTGTGATGATGAGGACTTGGTAGATTGATTGTCATCATGATTCACACTGATAAAATTATTATTATTATTGTTCTGATTATTTTGATGATGATGATTATATTTCACATGAGTGCATAAAATACAATAAGGATTGATGCGTACATAATCTAGGCAATTTCTATCTACAACTTTATTCAGTGTAGTGAGTAGGATGTTTAAATTTGCATTCTGTACAGTAATACCATAAGCCCAGTTTATTCGTCCTGGTTTAATAGGTACATTGTCTTGTAAAGTACTGCAATTACTAATATTATTATTACTATTAGTAGTACTAGTAGTAGTCAGACTGCTATGATTCTGCTGGGGAATCTCATTATTCCCATTTTGTTGTTGTTGCTGTTGGTGTTTTACAATGCGTAGTTTACCTGTATACCCGTTTAATGAACAATTTACACGTGTTTTTGAATCTGTTTTGCCTACAAAATAGTTTCAGATAACAAAAGAGACATTATTATTTGTTATTATATTTTATAGAGCTTTGAGAGATCATTATGTACAAGGTATTTCAAATATCTGTTATATATGCTGCATGTGCTACTTGACAGGATTTATGAGTAGTATAGATGGGTAGCCTTTAGTGAAAAATTAAAGGTATGATCACATAGCGAACAACTATTTAAAGTGAATTCCTCTTGAGCTTCTTTATTTATAGTTCTATTAATGTTGACATACAGCAGCTCCAGTAAAGTCAAATTCGAAAAAAACATATTCTAGAAATCTTTATTATGGTACTAACTGTGACTGTTATTTCTAGTCAGTTAGTCTCGATTACCATCTGAAAAACGCTCACAACATATATAGTCAACAAGAATATGAGATTAAAGGATTGAGTAGTGTGTTTCTGTATCTATATTCAAACAAAGTATGAATTTCAAGGGGTAACTTTTAGTCAGTGATGTATGAGACATTATGAATAATACGAAGAAATAAGGAAACAAATAGAATATGCTCAATGTAAGCTGATTATGTGCGTCGGTAGCACAGCGGTTGGGACAGTCTTCGACCATGCACATGGTCTGGGGTTCGATCCCCGGCCAGCCCACTTCTTTACCTCGTTAAGTCAGAAATAAAGCTGGTGAAGAGAAAAGGTTGAGCATGAGGCTAGCAACCCCATCCTTTAAAAATAAACAAACAAAAAATCTTGTAAACAAACTGAATCCTTGGTCACAAACTGATTGCATTCCTACTTCTCAAACAGAATGCAGTACACTGTATACAAAGGCTAATCCTCTTCTGCTGTACTCACTGAATCTGGTGCCCCCCAAGGTGCTGTACTCTGCCCACTTCTCTTTTCTTTCTTTCTACATGACTTACCATCTTCAAATGACATTAATTTGGTTAAATATGCTGACTATCTAACTGTATCTTTGCCTGTCAAATGTCAAAGTGACTGTTTCAAACTAAATGGTTTTTTATCAGAAATCAGTCAGTGGTCTAAGGAAAATGGTCTAACCTTAAATCCCTCTCAATGTTAAACAATCAATTTTACCTTTAGGTATAAATCTGACCTAAACAAACTGGTTAGCACTCACGAGGTGTGCAACATAGATCACATTGAAATAGAGACCAAGTCGGAAATTAAATACCTAGGCGTCATTCTATCTGGTGATCTCTCCTGGTCGTCTCATATTTTGATGATTTCTAAGAAAATATTCCGTCTTACCTTCTACATCAAGAAGTTAAGACATTGTGGAATAATCCAACCCTTACTCTTGCGATTCGTTAACTCTTGCATCCTGCCTATTATTCTCTAGTTTCATGGGCTCCTAAAGAAATACTATTTCTTACCACTAAGGATGTTAAAGGTTGTAAGCAGGGTAAGTCACAGAGTGCCACTTAACCAGCTTGTTAATATTCTTATCGACAGGCACGTGGACTCATGTGAAAAATGGACTAAATCCATTTTATCTAACTCACACCACCCTCTTCATTCACAACTCTCCCCTTGTATCTCACCAGGCAAAACCAGAAGCCTGTTTAGAAAACTACATGCCCGCACTAGTAAGTACAAAAACTCAACCATACCCTACTTAGCTCGTGTTCTGTGCGATAAAGAAAGCATTAGCCGTGATACCTATAACTTATAGTCAGTAGAACAATTGGATCTCGTCTTTCCAACGCATGTCATTTATAGGTACATCGTTTTCTTTCTTTCTTTTCCTTCTCTCTTTTGTTCTGTTATGTGCTGCTTTGTTTCTTTCTTCCTTACAAACTCTATTTAAAACATTCTTCTTCCTTCTTTCACACTCTGCATATCTCGACCTTTTTTTTACCGCTCACACCAATAAATATGCTAACATCTACTTTTCTGACACCTTCAAACACTCTGTTCAGTTTTGGCTTTGCTACTAATATGCTAATATGTTGTTGTCAAAACTAACCGAGATTACCCTTAATCTATGTAGATTTTTATTTATTGTAGGTGTACTAACTGGATTCAATACTGTAGTGAAATGCTGAGAATTCTATTCTGTATCACAAGTACTGTTTGGGAATAAAGCAAATTATTATTATTATTTTTAAAAACTCTGCTAGAGAAACTTCAAACCTACAGTGGTAGGACTCTATTTTACGCTTTATCTACAAGTTCACCTACAGTTCCGAGGATACAACAGAATGTCCTGATGCTGTCAGAACTAACATGTTCCTAAGTAGTTAGTTATTAATTCACAGAGAAAATCCAACCTAAATAGAAATCCACCATCATATATATTGCAAAACATTTATTAGTCTCTAGTCGCAAATTCAGTATTGAGGACTGTTTCACAAATGTTTCACGTAACTTTTGATTCAAAGTTGTTAAAAGGTGATTGTAGTACACTCTGACTAAATCACATATATCCCTGACTTTGTATTCAAAAAGTAATAGGCTTCAGTCTTTGCTGACTTAAGACTACTTGGCCTATTGCAACATGATTATTTAATAATATGCACTTTAATTTTACGTAAGGTGATTACTTGTCAAACATTGAATTACTGTCAACCATGCTAGTTTTATAGCGATTGTAGTGGAGTGAGGAGATACTATTGTTTCGCAATAATTGTCTTACAAATGCCTTGCTTTAAATAAATGAAGATTATTCATATTTAAGCGTTTGTAAAGATTTAGACTAATTCATGATATATATAGTGCTTGGTAGGTTGCGTCGTGCCAGGGTGGAGCAGATGCTCATCTATGGCATTAGCACTATGTTGTGAATCGATGAATGTTAGAATTGATGGTTGTTTAGATTTCAGCCCAGTGGATAAATGGTCAACAGGCTAGCGTCGTAACCTGAAGATGCTGGATTCAGCCCATGACAGGGGAGACTACCTATGCAGTGGTGAAGAGTTCCTAACCAGAACGCGACAGCTATTTCATAGCTCCATGGTTTTGACTTATTTTCTAACTGATTTGGTTTTGTGATGGAAGTGGTTAAATTTTTCAGACAATAAAAAAAAACTAATATTAGTATATTTTTGTTATGATCCCCCAGTACGCCTCAACTGTTTACTCTTAAAACCTCAAAGAGCGTTATTCAAGGACACTACGTTTCCATAAATAGTTGAGATTAAAGGTAGGATATTACATGGGTAAATTAAATTCCGAAGTAAAACATACTCTATTTGTAACACTCAACAATTTCAGATAGAGAAGAAAAACTGAGGAAACCACATATGCATTTTTTTGCAACCATTTCGTACAAATAATCTAGTTTTTCAAGTAGTCAGCCATGGCCTGAAGAGACCAGTGACTTCTTGAGGGCTGAAGACACATTTTATTCATTAGTGTTAATAAAGATGACACCTAAAGTGCTTTATATCATAGCAGTATTGTATTGTTCAGCTTAATATTAAACATTGGCAATTTATTAGACAGATTGTGATCAACACAAATAGCACTAAGCAGACGCCATTCAACGACCACTTGACATTCATCTCCAATACACCTTTTAAGTATAATTTCGTGATTGTGTAAGTAATTAAATGTCTAATTCACTCAAAAACTCACCAGTAATATTATTGTCTGAATCATAATAGTGTACATATGATCTAAGATCTTGTGGTTTAACAAAAGGTTTTCGAATTGGCATTTCACGTTTCACTGAATTTGTATTTTCTATGTCAAGTATGTCTGTTTGTTGGCCTTCTTCTTTATATACGGAGATATAGGAGAGTAAAGGCCGTTTGTTGTACTTGATCTGTTTGTCATTATCTCCTGAATGATTTCTGAAAAAAAATATGTATATATTTAAGACATTTTATGCCTTATTTGATCGAAATATTTGGTAAAAAGAAACGCCCAGTGGTACTGTGGTACTGAGAGCTGTCTGCAAACCAAAGTTACAGACAACAATTTACGTCAATGTTTTTACGTTCCGAATCAGGGTCATGAGGAAAAACAATGTCAAAGCTTAACCTTGAGGAACTCACCGACTAATCATAGCAAGTTTAACATGAGCATATATGATTCGCAGATATATGGCTTAACTTTCTAAGAAACGGTCACAAGCAGTATAGAATAATCTTCAGCAAGAAAACAACCAATCAGAAGACTTTGCTTCTCTGGTAACACTAACGCTAAGAATAATGTACATAAAATCTAAAAATATCTATTGATTTTTTCAATAAACGGTCTGTTGACTGGCTCTTGTCTTCTGTCGTTATAGTACGATTATATTCTTTCTGTATCGGACCAGTCGATTGAGATCACATCAGTCATTACCAAATCACTGAGACAAACCAATGGGTAGAATAGCTTTTGGCAGTGGGAACAGCATTCATATATTGCTCCATTGGACTGTACAGGTGTTCAGATTGCTCTGGATTCCATCACGTGAACGATTAACTCATAAATCCTTAGTTATCATTATTATTATTATCCTAGAGTAATCAAACTGTTCTACTGACAGTGTGAAATAGATCAAATTATCTTCCAAAAATGTCCAATTTATGGAATAGTATGGTGCACTTTCTTCGTGCGAAGAATTCTAGTGGTCTTTTTTCATTAACAGGCTTTTAACATCCTGAATCTGAGCCAAGAAAGCATCGTTAGGACTGCTACCATGGTAGGAAGTAAAAAATGTTCAGAAGTTTATCTTGTCCGCTTAGTGTTATTTTTATTAGTTGAAATTGACAATGTAGTGAGAGCTGTCTGCTAGCTAAAATTAGTAGACAGCAATATCCGTCAATTTTTACGTCCCAAATCTTGGTCATGACAAAACAACAAGAAGAAAGACTAACTCAACAACCAATAACAGCAAACTTTGCGTGGGTGAATACGCTTGGCAGATATATGGCATGACCTTCAAAGAAACGGCCACAAAAAGATGACAGATTAACTTTAAGCGAAAAAACAGCCAGTCAGAAGACGCTGTTTCCCTGCTAATAATAACGAATAATAATGCACATAAAAATATATAAATATGGCAGAAGTTAGAATTCATGGGCCATTGGATCGGGTCCCAGTGACTCAATGGACTACGAGCTTGCCTTGTAACCAGAGGGTCCTGATTTCGAACCCCGGTGGGTGCATACTGCTGAGGAGTCCCAAACTAGGACGAGACAGTTGTCCAGTACTCCCTGCAGGTTTTCCAATGATTCTTTAAACGATGTAAACTCGTGAGAAAAAACAAGAACAAAGCCTAACCTTGGGAAACTCAACAATCAATCACAGAAGACTTAGCGTGGGCGGTTACGATTAGCAGATATATCAACGGATTGTCTAATAAACGTCAACAAAGGAATGACAGAATAACCTCCAGGAGAAAAACAACCAATCAGAAGACGTCGCTTCTTTGCTAACAATAACGAATAATAATATACATAAAAATCTATAAATATCTCTTGATTTTCTTAATAAATGATATATCACCTGGCCCTTGTCTTCTGTCGTTACACTACCACTTTTGTTATGATCTGCAATTGTATGTTATTTCTGAATTTGATTGTCTTTTCACTTTAATAGAATTGTTTAAGTTCATTCTCCTAAGGTTAGCATTCATAATTTAAAAAATCGATTAACTTACTTGTATTGTGAATTTCTGCTAGAAGTTGCCTCATTTTTTTCAAGTAATTTTATTTCTGAAAAATTATCCATTCTAGTAATGCATATTTCTGACTTCCTTCTATATGTGTTATCATTTCTGTCTGATCGATCTAAATTTACATGTTTCACTACCGGTTGAACAGAGTTATTATCAATGCTAAAATAGTTATCCTTGCCGTTATCATCACTTTGGTCTTGTTGACATGGTTTCCTAGATTCATATAATATTATTGGTTGATTCTGACCAAGTGAATCTTTCTCCTGATTAATTAGACCTCTTGTATTGATTTTATGCTCTTGATAATCATCTGATTGGTTGATTTTTTCATTGTTATTATTTGGATTGATTAGATGATGATTTAAATTTGCTCTACGAGGGAATTTATTAACTGGTGTACGTCTAGGCAATGGTGACCGATAATATATTTGTTTTCCTTCCGTTGAAAGAATATAATCTTTGAATTAGTTTTCTCAGCATTTCTGTAACTATTGTTGTGCGAATTTATACTAATGTTTTCCGGTTCATAGTGGCGCCGTTGTTCTGCTTGTCGTTGGTGGTATTGCTGTGATTGTTGTTGTTGTTGATCTGAACTATGCACTGCAGACTGGACTTCTGTTGGATTAGAATTATTCCTTTGGTACTTAACTTTTTGTAATCGGAAATTTTTTGTCATTCCCTTTTCATTATTATCACTATTATTATTGTTATTATTAACAATGTTATTAGTATCATTTTGGTGATTGGAAATTTCATTAAAATACTGACATTCATCATGATATATTATAACTGGTACTGTCGCTCTACCTGACTGGTCATAGGGTAAATTTTCCCAGTCACAAGATTGATCCTTAGTTTGAATGAAATTCTGTTTTACTCGACATTCTGATGAGTCAGGAATTGCAGTTTGTGCTCTGTCAATAATGAAATGACGCCTTAACCCATTATGAAGGAATGAGTTAATACTTCTGTGGCAAAAAAGGGAAGTAAGAAAGACTGAATTGAGTACTTCATATACTGTTTGTTTATTTTAATATTATGAAATAATATCGATCACTTAGATAGTTAGTTGAAAGTGTTGCAACTACAACCGGCTCATCTTGGTCTGAACGCAAGAAACTGATCTCTGAGTACTACTGTATAAATCACAAAAAATACCCATTTTTAAATGTCAAGCGTTGTCTAAAAATTTTAAAATTTACGAGTACGATTACGATAAAAATGAAGATATGAAGTAAAGTGGAATGAATTCAAGTGGTAAAACAAAATAAAATAGAAACTAGAAAGAACATTACTATGACCAAGGTAAAGATTGGGGTTTGACAAAACGCTTTTGAACACATAATTTAGGTTTCTGTTCATGTATAGCTAAAGCTTCAGCTATGCATAAGCGAACGAAACATAAACTTTTGGAGCGATTCGATTTTGCCATGTAGATAACTTTGAAAGATGAATCACGTGGGGCTAAATGACCCGACTCTAACAGGTGATCACAAATAGACGACTTTGCAGTTCTACGTTTGCCTTTCATTAACCAAACTGGATAGTGTTCAGCTACACGTTTTAGGAGTGTACGCTTACAACGTCAAATATAATCAGCTCCACAGGAGCAGGTAGAAGAGTAGATGCACATAGATTATTTTATTTTACCACTTGAATTCATTCCACTTCACTTTACATCTTCATTCTTATCGTAATCGTACTCGTAATTTTTAAAATTTTTAGACAACGCTTGACATTTAAAAAAAATATTTTTTGATATCGATTCATTTATAAAACAATCTTTAATAATGTTGTAATTCATCCACTTCAACTCTACGCCTGATAACATTTTAATTATCGTTATTCTTATCACATATATATGTATATTGACTGAGCAATTATGTAGTGCCACTTAATAACCTTTTTCTGTAATATAAATACGACTGTACAGTTGGCTTGAAAATGAAGTCATTGAAAAGAAATTTCTTCTCTGAACAAAAACAAAACTGTGTTTTTACTACTGTATAGTTGAAAAAACTTCCTTGAGGAATGTACAGTTACAAAACGCCCCCAAAGACAACAAAAAGACGATTATTCCTGGTTGGAATCTACATGTGGTTCTATTTAACAGTGATAATATCAAAAACTTAGAATTACCTCAACTTGTGCTGTTAGTTAGCTATACAGTGAGGAGAGCGTTCTATGTGCACAGCAAGCAATGTAGACCAAAATTAGTCAATCAAAATTCACTTATGAGAAGTGCCTTAGAATCAAGTAGGGATATTCATCAGGCATGGGATCAAAACTCTGTCTAAAGGAATCACACACAAACACTTCTCGTGGGCATTCTAAGAACTTTGACTCACTTGAACAAGATAACGTCGTAAGACAACATATGATCAGTGTATCGCACAACCATAGGGAGAAGTAATAAGCATAGAGATTAAAAAGGGAGAATGACAAATAATAAAAGTCAAGTCAACATATGATGTGCAGATATCAGAACGATGAAAGGCAGTCCAAGAGAAAGGCCGATAATAATTACAGAGTCTTGTGAAACATCCGAATAAGTATGACTATTTTGGTTAGATCTTTCATAAAGCATTTACCAACTTTTGACCAGCTGTTTAAAAACGTATGCTTAAACTACTGCTTGGTAAAGATTTGATAAGCTGATATTCAAAGCACTCAGAAATCAGGTATTTTGCAAATGATTAATATTTTTAACATTCTGATTCCCCTTTTCTACTTATTTAACAGCTTGGTATTTGAAGATATACCGAACAGGTTTCTCTTATTTCCTTTCTGTTGATTAGTCATTTCTCCACGAACAAATATCGGTTTGAAAACCATTGAAAGCCGAAGAGCACTGGACGTCTATTTCATCCCTATTCAGCTGAATAGTCTGTGAACTCATCTTGTAGCTTAAAGGTCCTGGATTCAATCCCTGGTGGAGTCGAGGGTGAGCATTGGCGAAGAGTCCCAAATTAGGACGAAAATGTTGTCCAATGCTCTATGGTTTTCAATGATTCTCTAGTTGATGTTGGTTAGTGACCACATTTACAATGAAATTTATTCGATATCTCTACAAAACTGGTAATTTAAATTCATTGTTTAATTACTGTTTAGAAATAGTGTCTGTTCGTTGAATATTGATCATATATAAAAAGGATTGATTGGTTCTTCTTAGGTGTAAACTGTTTTATTGATAACAGTACTATTTACTTTCAGAAGTAGATTAGATTTTGAAGTTCAGTCAAATGAACTATGTTAATCCACTATCATATGGTTTAAATTTTTACTGTTAGCTACTTCCGTTATATAGCATCGGATTGATGCAAACAAAAACATGGCACCAGTCAATGAAATCTACAACAGTTAGTTTAAGCCAGCCACGTAGGAAGGTGTAGACTGGCTTCCTGGTTGGGGTCCACGGGACGGTAAAAACCAATGGTTGGAAACAATTGGTGATATGGCTCAAAATCGTTCTCAATGGTGCAGATGCATCCACTCCCTGTGACTTATAATTTCCAATGAAACTCTATTGTTCTTTGTTATTATTACTCCTTTGTCTCACACATCAACTTACTGTTTCTATTATGCATTTCTTCTACCTTCTCTTGCTTTGTGTGCTACATGGGGTGTGGCGACTTGAACTGGTGCACATATGTGCAAAGTTCTATGTCGAAAATAGATAGACAGACAGACAGGACTGGACTACATCGACGCCTAGTTTAAAAATAGGAAGTGAAGTGGTAGAGCACGTTGACCGCTTCACTTATTTGGGAAGTACCATCAGCCAGTGCCAACGGGTTGATCTCTGACGAAATCTCAGCACGAATACAAGGGGCTCGTTTCGAATTTGTTAGTTTACGCCGACTCTGGCGTAGACGAGATGTTCGACTATCGACCAAAGGGCGGGTGTACTACTCATCAGTCCGCTCCGTCCTCCTTTATGGTTGTGAGACCTGGCCACTGAGAGTGGAAGACATGAAAAGACTAGCTGCCTTTGATCATAGGTGCCTGCGTTCTATTTCCCGTGTAAAGTGGCATAATAAGGTGAGCAACATGGAGGTTAGGCGTAGAGTTCTAGGTAAACAGGGGAAATCAATCGACGAAGTCGTGAAGCTACATCGACTTAGATGATTAGGACATGTGTTACGTATGCCAAGTCATCGCATCCCTCGACGAGCAATGTTAGCGGATATAAGGTCAGGCTGGAAAAAAGCTAGCGGCGGTCAAACAAAAACTTGGCCTCACCAGTCAATGAAATCCACAACAGTTGGTCTCAGCCAGCCACGTAGGAAGGTGTAGACTTCCAGGCTGGGGTCCTCGGGACGGTAAAAATCCATGGTTGGAAACAATTGGTGACATGGCTCAAAATCGTTCTTAGTGGCTGGCTCAGATGCATCCACTCCCTGTGACTTATGATCTTCAATGAAACTGTTTTGTTATTCTTTATTCTCCTTTGTCTCACACCTCTGCTCACTGTTTCTATTATGCTTTTCTTGTACTTTCTTCTCTTGCTTCGCGTGCTACACGGAATGTGGCGACTTGAACTTCCGCACATTTGTGCAAAGTTCTGTGTCGAAAACAGACAGAGACAGACAGACAGACGCATATACTGCACCAATTGTAACAAAATTTCATAAAATAATTTCAATTATATTATTTTCATTCCTCCGTAATGTAAAGTACTATAGGAGTAGGCACATAAATACCCGATCACTTTCCCGTCCGGGTTCCACTCGAGAAAGAGTCTAGTGTGTGATGACACTTGATGGGTTGTTTTCTCAGAGTATGGCTAATCCACTTCCAATTCTTCCTGCATATTTTCTGCAGGATTGGTTCCTCTTGGGTTGGTTCGTTCCCAGCGATTCCTTTTGCTAATTTTTTCTGGCCCGCCATCTGATCTTGAGCCAAGGATTGAGCGAAGACAGCTGTTTATGAAGGTCTGTAGTTTGTTTGGGATGCTCTTCATGACGCGTTAAGTCTCTAATCCATAAAGTAGCACTGACTTCACATTTTAGTTGAATATCCGAATCTTATTTTTCATGCTGGGTGCTGTCAACCTTCACACAGACTTGAGAGTAGTGAAAGCTTGCCTTGCTTTCCCTATCCTTACTTTGATATCCTAATCAGTCCCATCCGCTTGTAGTTGAAACTATGCTTCCCAGGTCGGTAGGTGAAGGAGGTTGCTTTTTTCCAATTCCTCCCATTTATGCCGACTGATTGTTGTATGTTGTTCATATGAAGTGTGATTAAGATTTGGCCGAATAGTTCCAAAATAGCTGGGCGCTGGGTGAGAAGTAGACATTTGTAAAATCTCATCGACATCGAAATGATTAATTCCAACGTTTCGTTCTGCAATCTGATCGGAACGAAACGTTGATATTAATCAATAATTTCGCTGAGATTTTACAAATATAATTTTTTACAGATGTTGTTGTTGTTGCTGCTGGCCAGGAATCTTCATCACCTCTGTTTTCTCTATGTTCACTTGAAGTTCTATCTTCTCTGGATGCTTCTTCTGCCAACTTTTTGCTTTTCACTGGTATATCTTCTATTTTGCGAAGTTCAAATCCCCCAAGTTTTTTGTGTGGGTCCATTTTATTCCAGTTTCCTTGCTGGCCGTTGCGTGTCACGTTATCCAGTCTACCGCAATCAAGAAAATCGTTGGAGATAGTGGGCAACCAGTCTTGTCTTACTCCTGTCTTCACTTCGAAGGACTCGATGACTTTCTCGTTGTGGACTGTCCGGCACTCAGCATTGTCGTACAACTAATAACTATGGCTTATACCACCCTTCAATTACATTGGTCACCACTAGTCTTCAAACCAGACCTAGTTGAATCTATTATTCATGGCTATTATCACAACCTTTATGGAATCAGTAATAAGAAATGGATTGAAAATGAAATGGGAAATGAGATATGCAGCCTGGATACAGGGGGAATATATCTATTTTATCAACCAAACTAATTCATTTTTAGAAAGTGAATCGGTGAGTAAATCTTGTCAAAGATAACAAAAGTGATGAATATTAAGCCGAATAAAGACACTTGTAGCATAACACTATCTTACTTGCATTGATTTACAAATTCTTCATCTCTAAGTGATGTATTTTTACCACTTTTATTATTGCAAACAATTACTTTATCATATTCGTGTACATTTGTATTCTCATATAACGAAGTAGCATGAACACGACGTAAGTTATTTGATATTTTGCATTGATTATTTCTTATGCCTTGTCTAAATGTTTGTTCATTATTGTCTAGATGACATGAACTTGGATCTGACAGACTTTTACATTCAATTTCACGTAAATATTCATCAGATACAATGATTAGATTATTTCGGGGACTTGGTATTGACTCATCAACTGATTGACTACAACAGAAACAATGCAAAGTAAATAAATAAATTTGTTTAAAAAATTATTATCGTTAAATGGAGGTTCTTTCATGTTTTACACAGTGTTAATTAGGTTACTAGAAAATTTGGAAACCAGAAGGATTGAGAGAAGGAATGTTTAGTTTTCATTTAAATCCTCATAATGAATTGGTAAAACATAGCATAAATGGTAGTTTTGAATTTGTTGGAAAAATAAGAGATCTTAATGTGAGTGACAAGTTTATGATATCTTTTGATGTTCACCAATGTACCCTTAATGGAGACAGTGGATTTTATATGTGATGAGATTACTATGCGAAACAGAGACATCGGGATTCCTGTATCCTCCTTGAAGCAACTTACTTTAAGATGTACAATGAAGGTTCATTTCTTATTCAATAAGGAATATTACAGACAAACTGATGGTGTAGCTATCAGGTCCAATCCTAGCTGATTTTTTCCTCCCTAAGTTGGAGAATGAATCACTGCAAGCAGTAATTAATGAATTAGATTTCTACTGTCGATATATGGAAGAGACATTTCTGGTTATGAAAAGTGATAATGATGCAATGAACATCCTTGAAAAGTTTATTGATGCCCATTTAGCAACAAACTTTACCATAGAGAAAGAAAGTAATGACAGTATCTCATTCCTAGGCATCTTCATGCCGAGGAAAGAAGATGGCACACTAAGAAGGATTGTGTATAGGAAATCTACAACTAAAGATCAGTACACTTATTTTTGAGTTTTGTACCTTTTTAAATATAAATGTAACCTCGTAAATTGTCTGGTTTATAGATCTAGGTTAATCTACTCAGACGACTGTCTCAATGAGGAACCTAAGATTATTAGAAAATTACTTAGAAAAAACGGTTATTTAGATAAGTTCATTGAGAAAAATATGGATTCAGCACCTATGAGAGTCAGTATAGTAATAGTTCCGAAAAAACCACTGTTGATATAACTGCAGTTCCTCGGTGACACCATCAGCGAAATAATAACTTAGCACCTAAAAATGCAGTTGAAACAGCTTGTTATGCAGCAGACGTACATTGTCTCTTCACAACCACCCATATTCTACTTTTGATAAATAAGGATAAACTACTTAAATTTGTCTTATCTTTGTGTTCAGAAGACATTTGTACAGCCACTTTCCTTACCTTGGCCATCGTTACATGAATGTATAGACCGGGCTACTTCGCCCCCTTCCCCTAAACCTTTAAAAAGTATGAAAACTATAACTCTCCAAATAATTTTACTATTTTTCTGACTACTTCATCCTTAATTACATGTTATCTATACTAAAAAATCAATAATATTATTTACATGGATTCCGACTGGAACACAGGGCTTCAGCAGCATATCTTCATCTCACTCTGACCTATGCAGTCCATACTAGCTGGCTTCACGGTTCCCTATAGGCTATTATCTCCTCTATATCACACTCGATCACCCAACTAATCGTTTCCCACTGACCTTCCATTGGAGTAATGGCCTAGAGCACGATGTTACTCGACGGTCTCCTCAGAGTGCATCCTATTCATCTCCATTTTCTTAAGGATATTTGTTGAGCAATACGTTCCTGATTGATTCGTCCTCAGAGTTTTTTGTTCCTGATTCTTTTGATCATTTGATCTTCAGTGTAGGTCCAGTGACGGGAGCTGTTGATAAAAATGCGTGAAGTCTGTCGGAAATGCTTGTCGTGATGCGGCAAGTCATCCAAGTTATATCCAAGATGTGTGAATGATATTTTTATCATCTCTGAAGGTTAATCTTGCAGCCAGCTAAAAACAGCTGCAGATATCAGAGTAAAATGTTGATATGTGTTGCTGAGGTATTATATTTGCGGTCAGCGCAGAAACCTCATTAATCAGTAAGCAAGCAAAAATATTGACTCACCACTTATCATCTAGCTTAGAAACTGTCATTGAAGCGATATTATCACATGCGTTGGACTCTGATTTGCATTTTTGTGATTCATGAATTTCTGAATTAGGAGCTAATGTATATTATCAACAAAAATAAAACATAGTGAATAGTAGAACTGACTATTAGTTTTGTCATTATCATTACAATGAAATTATATTAAGTTCCATTTACACATAATTAATATTTTGGAATAAAGGAATAAATACTTTCAGTGGTTTGAATATTATGTTTGCTACGAGTTAGGCTACTCTCAGCAGGCAGCGAAAACTGTCACTTACTGAGAGATCACTGGCAGTGTTGTGAAAAATTGAAATTACGCAAGTTGTTACGCAACTACAAGAATAAACAAGCATTTGTAGATACAAGTCGAATCTGATTAAATTGAAGTGAACGATATCTCAGTGTGAAGTCTACAACTCAGATTTTTAATTTGTAGGTATTCAAAACTTGACCACCATGGTACTCTGTTTGTTTGCTGGATATATTAAGTGTTGGTTTGAACTGATTTGAGTGGTTACAGGATTGAAAGAAATCGTAGGCATCTTATTCCTCAGAGTCAGGCAAGAGGACAGTTATTCGTCAGCGACACTGACTAGTGGTTGTGCTAATTTGCAGTAGTAGAAATTTACGAACCAAAAGATCAGATCACATTGGTGGAGTGATCTATGAGCTCTCTGTACAACCGAAAGGTCCTGGGTTTAAACCACGATTGGCTAGTACTGCTAAAGAGACTTAAACTACGATAAGACAACTGTCCAGAACTCCCTGGGTCTTCAGTTGTTCTCCTAACTGATGTAATCTCGTGATCAGTTCAACTGAATATATATCACACGGTGGGACAGTATTCCTTGATGGATGACGTTTCGGGGATGATTGTAAGCATTCAGCTTTAAAACTTGATTTGTGTGGTTCTCCTGTTTCCCTATCTGTCACAAGTGTAGTAAGGGTTGTAAAATTGTCCAGATGTCTGAGATAGGTGCTAAATTATTCCTGTTCCACGTATTCTCAGTTGATTGGATAAATAGAGCTTCATTTATCAGTCCCTCCATCCATCATGCTATATTAGATTTTAATACTGTCATCCTGTCCCATCCTGTTGTGTGGTTGTATGTAACTGTAAGTAGTGCTATGGCTGAGCTGTTATCTAGATTCCCTATTTTATTAGGGTCACTGCTGTTTTATGTTCTGTGCTAACATAATTGATCCAGACTTACTACTTTGACCTGATAATCATTTTAGGGTATTTGAAAAACTAAGTTATTATGTTTGGTGAGCTCTACAGAATCCTTTAACTGGAAAAATTTGTTTCTGAGTGAATTTATGGGTTTGAATAGCACTTTTTTGTCTGTCTTATGAAACATGCAATGTAAGGTATCAGAAGTTCCCTCTTTGTTAGGCAGCATGACTGATATTAGAAATTTGGCATTCTTGGTGTTGTCATCTTTATTTCGGTCATTTATTTTATCTTTATTATTATCGTTCCCATAATCTCTGATTTCCAGTTTTAGAGTAAGGTAGTTGTTTATTAAATCACAGTTTTTTACATTTCACTATCCTGTTCCACACCCTGATTACTTTAAACATGAAGTAAGTATAGCACAAACATCAAATATTGGTCCACACAGGTGACATAATATTTATGCAAAGATGGAGGAGGGAGAAAGATTGAACACTCCACTATTCTCTTTTTTTCCTTCACGTTCCCCAGTGGAACATAGGGCTCCAAGCTATTGGCTTGAAGTTTCTGTAGCGGTGTTGATTTTACAGGATGAGGTTGCTAGCTTCATGCCTAACGTTTCCTCTTTACCAGCATTATTTCTGGCTTAGCGAGGTAAAGGAGTGCGTCTATGACTGGGGATCGAACCCCGGACCATGTGCATGGTCGGCGAGCGTCCTAACCACTATGCTACCGACGCATCAAGTATTCTCTTTGAGTAACATTAATTGGAAAGTCTTTGATCATATATAACTCAGGCAACAGGCTCAGCAGGAAAAATACAGCATTGCAGAGACTGTTTTCGAGTATACTTTGCATGGTTTAATGGGATCCAATCCAGAGGGCCTAAATAAACTAAAGAGTGATAACTAAACAAAAGACTTTCCAACTCTTACATCACCTGAAAACAACCACTGAATGCTGTCATTTTAATAAAGTACTTGGCAATTTGACAATTAAAAAAGTCACCTCACATTTCACAACAATGGTCACTAACCGCCGTGTATTGTCTGAATTATTATTTATTTTATTCCTTGCAGCTCACAGTGGAACATATGGCTTCAACCTGGAGCTTTTGAATTTTCAGTAGTAGTGGTGTTTTTTTAAGCGTTAGGGTTGTTAGCCTAACGCCCTTCCCTCTTTGCATGGCTTACTACCGGGCTTAGCAGGTAGTGCGCCGGTTGAAGAGCGAATCCCCGACCAATTATGTGGTTGACCAGTTTTGTACCAATGAATCACTCACCCTGAGTACGAAAAATCATTCAGTCCTATCCAGGATAGCAGGCTGACACCAATAAAACTAATATTCCTCACAGTGGCTTCCATAATGTTATCAATGGCAAAGTTAAGTATGAATATTTTTTCCGCGTTGTGCTTTTTAAAGTGGTTTTCTTTAACATATATTTGGAAATACCTCCAGAACAAGGACTAATTCGTTATTGTACTGACCGCATACATTAACCATAAAATAAAGGAAATTTTCTTTGTACGTTTTAAACTACTCATTATAGAATGTCAGTAGGAAAAATTAATATGAAGTGGCTGAATTTCACTCAATATTAGGAACGTTTACTTACGTTGTGAAACAGTTTCCTGTATACTTTTTACACCAGTGGTTTTGAAATCATTTTCTTTACATGTGGTATTGATCGGTAACATAGAAATAATGGAAATCAGTTTCTCAGCAATTTTGTACTGCGTTTCTTTATCGGCTAACAGGAGATAGGTTGCTCTTATATTGTTAAATAAATGTCTTTCAAATGTTTCACGTAAATCTTCAGCTGCAAAGCCTAATTCATTCATAAGAGCTAAGAGAAAAAAAATAAATGAAAGGAATACTTATGAAAAACTAAAATGTTACATTATCAAGTATTCATTAAATTTGTTTAGGTGAATTTCCCAGGTGACTGATTATATATATCGGATGGAAATGTTCAGTCGCTTTTGACAAGTTGGAATGTAGTAAGGATACCCCAAAGGTATCTGAGAATTAACAAGAAGTCATATGGTGTATGGTGTTAAGCAGTAGAGTCCACGTTTTGCGTTTCGTCCTAATTGAGACTCGTCACTGAACATAATTGTGAGTGAATATGTTCCCATTGAGAGTCGAACCGAGAACCTGCCATTTGAAACGTTAAAGCACTATCCACTAGGCAGTCTGGTCTACATAAATGGCACACAAATAAACAGGTATCTGTTATATAAATAACATCATGTCCATTATAACACTGACCAGCCAAGGTAGGAATAAAACGAGTATTGGATACATTGGCAAACGTTTCCATTATGTGAACTGTAAATAAAACAACGCATTTAATTTTAATCAAGTGAGGCTTCCTGCCATTTGACTTCAGTTATCTCACACTCACAAAGGATACACTAAAGTGCTGTGCTAGTTATATAACACCCAAGTGTGTAGAACTTAATACTTACTCAGGTCTGCAAGAATATGATTACACTTGCAGTTAAATTCATATCTCGGTATATGAACATATCTTTTTCATTCCTCTCTATTCCGAGAGGAATATAGGGCTTCAAGCTTAAGATTTGGAGCTTCACTATTTCTTATATATATATATTGAAGTCGTTAGTTTTACGTCCAGCCTTCCCTCTTTACCAAGCTTACTACCGGCTTAGGGGCGTATACTTGGGGGACATTCTACCAGTGAACCAACAACACATATAAACCTGTGTTAGATAGCGTATATTAAAGGACAAATTAAGGATTCATCACTGGATTGGATCAAGTGGAATTCATAAGAAAGACATAGATTAAAGGACAAACAGGCTATCAGAATGAGACAGGAATGTGAAGTGTGGGGAAAAATCCTCAAAGGGTTTCTCTAAATACATGGAAGTTACGAACACTCTGTCGAAGTGGTTATTTTTCCTAAATTCAATCGGGAGAATTCAAATAACGGACCTATTGATTATTAAATACTGAAAATTTTGAAATAATGGAGATTTATGCCTCAAGCAGAAGTTTATAGTGTTTCTGTTTGAGTTGGCAGGTCCAACTCTAAATTTGAACTGAGTGAAGTTTCGCTAACGAATTCTATGTTCTAATGCCTATTTTTGTTTCCATTAATGCACAATCCAATGGCAGACCTATCTCCTGAAGGCTTTCACCGACTGGAGTCATTTGGCCTCCCTAATTCTTTTTATTCCTTTACGTTCCCAGTGGTACATAGAGCTTCAAGCTAGAGGCTTGAAGTTTCTGCAGCAGTGTTTATTTGTACAGGATGAGGTTGCTAGCCCCAAGACCAACCTCCCCTCTTCGCTAGTTCTTAGCGAGGTGAAGGAGTGCGTCAGCCGGGGATTGAACCACGGACCATGTGCATGGTCGGCGGGCGACCTAACCGCTGTGCCACCGACACCTCCCTAATACCAGAGGTGAATTGTTTTACGAGGTGGGACTGCTATTTCTTATGCTGAACTTTTCCTTACTTTCTCCGGACCTAAGACCCGTTAGTGAGGCAGACGATGTTACACATATTCAATGAGCTGATTTTCTAGTTCTTCTGAAACAAACGTTTTCATAAATAGATTTAAAAAGCATTTTTGTGTACACCATTCTATGTCTACAATTCATATCTTCTATTTTCATCAGAAAATATGTACTGTTGATGTTTTCTATTTATTCTACTTATTTCATGATCCCTTAAGCACATAAATATTCTACTTACCTATACGTAGTGGATCGTTATAACTTTCTAGATTTTCGTTGTACGGTTTCAGTGGCTCACTTTCATAGCCAATATTAATCCATGGATCTTTCATTAATTCCTTTATTTGAAAATGAATGCGAAATATATCATGAATTTACTGATATACATATACATTACGAAAATAAAAACATTACTTGGAATTATACTCGAATAATCTTAGCTTTTATTTCACTTAACTGACATTTTCTATGATCCGAGTACACTAATCACACAACTGCTTGTCGGAATAAACTATGTCCCTTAAATTAGTGACTGTTTTATCTCATTGTCGAAAATAAATTCCATCCTGATACTCATTGATCGTGTTCTAAGGTCTCCCTTCATCAAAAATAGAAGAAGAATAAAATTTGTAGCAGAAAGTGTGCAAATTTTGCTTCAGTGTTCGTTTTCATCTATAGGATGTCTAAAATACACAGCATTAGTATCAATGAATATGAACATAATATTTTCTGGTCAGAAGGCTTTTGGTGTAAAGATCAAAAGTTTAACGAAACAACAGTAGGTGAAATCGTTACGGTATAATGCAATGTTTATTTGGAATTCGATATATGCATATAACGAAATCATATACACCTTATATGATTACCGTTATTTGCACACATCTTCCGTGTTGTGCTACTTCCACACTTCGTACTGTATGTGCATGTTTTTTCGTCTTGTTTTCGTGTCTTTTATGTTTCAGTGCAACACTGGTTCATTTACTCTCTTTGATATAAGAATAAAACTTGTGCACTCTGATGGAATATAATTCCACTTTTGGGTAAAATTTATTTTGATAAAGTCTCACAGTGTTATTTAACAGTAATATTTACTGATGACTATGTTTCGAGCACATTTTATTGACACTCATAATCATATCAAGGCACTACTCACACAACTTTTTAACTTCGTTTATATAATTCCAGCATTATTTTCCATCGCTTGATTTGATTGGTAGTAGTTTTTCCATATATCCGTCATGAGTGATGAGTCATTCCTATTGCATGTGTTGGGTGTAGTCAGATTGTCGGAACATAAGAATTTAGCTAAGGTAAGAATGGTTGATCCCGAGAAGATAAGTAATTTAGAAAAAAGAAACTCAGCAATTGCACTGCATGCATTAACACACAACCATACAATAGCGTAGGAGAAAGTGAAAATTCTAAGAGGTAATATTGGTAGGTGATGAGAGAGAGGCGGTTCATTACTGAATCCTTGATCATGCAGTCTATACACAACACATGGTATAAAATAAATTTTACCCGTAATGGAATTATACTCTACGATAGTGCATAAGCCTCCAAAGCCTCAGGGTGGTCGGGGGTGGGTGCCTTGCGCTGCGGGTTGGCCACCCCTCCGTACACCTCTTGAAAGGCTCCTCTTGCGTCTTACATAGCCTCTCCTGAGGAAGTCCTACTCACTGCCTTCACGTGGCGGAGGTGTTCATTTCACCGAAGTGAGAGGGCGAAAGCGGATGCCCGGCGCTCTTTACCGGGTTGACTGTCCATTGAATGACAGTCTAGGGGAGATGGCTGAACCCTGATTCCAAACCTCCAACGACTGTCGTATGAAGCTCACCGGAAGACGTATGGGCAAAGGGCTTATTGGATGCCCTGGATGTCTGGCCCCATTCAAAAAGGCGTATGAACCGGACTCCGGTCACCGGCTGCCAACAGATAGTGGACTCCCTACTCCACTCCTACTGCCTTGTAGGTCACACTTGGCTGTGTAAAGGCTAGAGCTGCACTCTCAAACAAAAGGCCGAGCGATGCTGGGGACATCACTCGTACCAAATTCCCATGAAACTTCATGAACTCTCTACAAAATCAGCATCAGATCGCCGCGCCTGGGCAGCGATGATTCGAGATGTTCATGAAGCCGGCTCATCCTCCCGTAGGAGATAGCCGAAGTAAAGTAAAGTAAGTAATAGTGCATAAGTTATATTCTTTTAGAATGTTTGTAGTCAGAGAGGAGCCTCAAAATAATACATGCGCACTATATGCCACAAATTTTGTTTTATAGTACTAAGAATCATGAATGATTTAGCTTGTTGTATTCCCCGTTCCCGGAAAACGTGTGGGTTAACATTTTTAAGAAAATATCATGTTCAAATTGTCTACAAAGCTAAGTTTCTGGTCTGGAGGATATGAGTCGTGAAATCAGGGAGAAGATTCACACCTTACGTGGATTATAACCATTTTAAAAGCTTTTAAATTGAAGCACGAGGCTCACAGAATGATATAACACTAAGTTTTGAACTAAGTGAAAATTGGACTACACTTTATACACAAACCTCTGATATCACAACTGACCTCTAATAGTCTTTTCAGTTAAATGTGGCGACGACGCTAAGGATGTGAAAAGAAGGGTATTCACTAGCCTGATATCAGTGTAGTAATCTAGAGAATGCAGTTCGAATTTTCAATACTAATGTCAAAACTGTCAGTGCTTCTATACGAATCACAGATCAAGTGCATGCGTCACGAAAAGCATTTTCAACAAAATGTTGCATTCGTCCTAGTCTACAGATCAAATGTCCATCCAGAAAGGACAGTCAACAAAAAACACTAGCAACAAACTAGCCAAGAAATTATCGCCCAACAAACATTTAGGAGTAATGGTTTTTCAGGGATTTTGTTTGATTGGTTGGAGGATTTCATCATCACTTAACCACTGGAAAACCTGCAGGGAGTATTGGACAGCTGTTTTGTCTTAGTTTGGGGGTCATTATCAGTACGCACACACGCTGCGGGGTTCGAACCCAGGATCTTCTGGTCATAAGCCTAGCGATCTGGTAAACCATTAAGATGGATTGAATATTCATTGTGCAGGCTTTTCAGTGACATTACACGACAAGGAAGCCCCCGAATGAAGCTAGAATAGATAACAACGAGTTGGTAGCTTGTCCAAGGATTATATGGAAGAAAACGTCCGTGAAGAAAATGAAAGCATACGGAAAGTTGTAGGACCAGCTAATACAGCCGGTAGAGAGCAGAGTGAAATGATGAAGCCCTATGTTTCACTTAGAACCCAGAGAAATAATAACGATCTCAAAATCAGTTGTGAAATTCCTTATTTCAAATAAAGCTAATTAATCTTTATCAAAGTGTATTAATGCCTACTAAGTGAAACATTGAAATACGCATAATGAGATACACAATATACTGGTGAGTTAGACAGGCACACAAAGACTGCTAACACCTCTCGATAATTTCTATCAACTACTCAAGAATCTTCACCTTCTCCAAAACAGTTGAAAATCTTTTTATGGATTTTCATTTCTTTGTGTAATACTTGTTACGCAACTAGTAGGTTTTAACCACCCTACATAAATAATACAAAATTCAATTCGTCTATTTGTTCACAATCTATATTATTAAAACCTGGAGATACTCTTGATTCGTAATCTGGATTATTAAGATTTAATATCATCAATTCAACCGTTTAACAACTACATGTATTTGCCCAACACTTGACAAACAAACACATTTCAATTCAAGTGTTGGTTTATAGGGATTTGATTGGTTACAGGATTTCATCATGAGCTGACATTGATTAGAGAACCATTAGAAAACCTGGGAGTACTGGACAGGTGTTTCGTCCTAGTTTAGGATTCTTCAGCAGTACTCACCCACCGACAGGGTTCGAACCCAGGACCTTCTGGTTACAAGGCTGGTGAGCTTGTAGGCCAGTGAGCCACTGGGACCCGATCCAATGCCCCATGAATTCTATGTCGTGAATTGGCAGAAGTTAGAATTCACGGACTGGCGATTGGATCGGATCCCAGTGGCTGGCTGGTCTACGAGCTTACCAGCCTTGTACCCAGAAGGTCCTATGTCTGAACCCTGTCGGCGGGTGCGTGCTGCTGAAGAATCATAAACTAGGACGGGACAGCTGTCCAGTATTCCTAGATTTTCCAATGGTTCTCTAACTAATGTCAGCTGATGATGAAATCCTGTAAACACATATCTACTTTACGGTCGTTTTTTCTTCTCATATCTCTTCTTTCTGATTGCATAATCTGCATAAGTTATAAATCGGATCTAAAATGGGAGTTGTATTGCATCATATGCTGCAAAACGCATCATACAGTTTGGAAATAATCAATACATAAACTGGAATTTGTACATTTTAAAAGCAAACATTCCTCATTATTCAAATAATAATGTCTGAATTAACTGTGTAGACGTATTGTATCATCTCTAGCATCACTGTAACTAGTGTATGTTTACATAGAGATGCAAAATAATGATATTAAACATTTATCACAAACAAATACTTTTTGTGTAATTTAAACTTAAATATGCATTAATAAGCTGTATATTGATTGATTAAACAGTTTATTGTAAAATCACTGAAGTTAAGAGGAGTAAAGCAAGCGTAACTCTTCAGATATGTAGGTTACATTCTGACGAACTGTTTTTAAGTTGGGAATATAACGATTGAACAGACTAACCGACTTATGTAGTTTCATAATTACAGCGCCTAGTTACTATCCTTGTGTTACATTTACAGCTACCATAGATTGTTATAATTTACTAGCCTAACATCAATCTATAGCGTATGCTACTTATAAGATATATAAGTAGCACATAAAGGGACATTCATCGGCACAAAAACACCAAATAGCGGAGAGATAAATTTGAAGTTAAAGAGAGTAAATGAACCAGTGTTGCACCAAAACATGAAAGACACGAAAAGAAGACGAAGAAACAAACACACATACAGTACGAAGTGTGGTAGTAGCACAACACGGAAAATGTGTACAAATGACGACAATCATATAAGGTGTATATGATTTCGCTATATAGAGATGTTACATTCCAAATAAACAATTCCTCACCAAGTCTGCTGTGTTTCAACGTTACAAAGCTTCATCCCGCGATTATCCTCGGTTACTGCTTGACTTTTGTTTCTCTAATAAACTATAGACTGTAAAAGACCCTTTAATTTACACTGACTTCTGCTCAGTTCTTTTTTTCATGATGTTTTCAAAGCTTCACAACTAAATTCAGAGTAAGTTAGAGTAGTTTAGTTTGAATTAACTGAGTTACTATTTCAAGTTAATTTGGATTTGATATAGACAAGTCAACTAAACTTAAGAATAAGGCTCACTTTATTGTGAATTAGAGACTGAATGACCACCTACTGATAAGTGTACACCATTAGGGATGGTGAATATGTAGTCATTATTGATGTTAAATAAAGTTATAATGAGCTATAACGGTGGTCTATTGAAATCTTCAAGACGGTGCATTGAAGTTTCAGAAACAGGAGGGGATTTTACGGGGCGAGGTTGATAGCCGCGCTCCCAACCTTCAGGTGTTCATCGACCGGTAGCTGAACTTCGTGTCAGGTGGTTGGTTGGTGAATATTCTATCATTGGACCACCAACACACTTCTACCCAAAATGCGTTGTATTGTTGCATTGTTTTATGCATCCAATTACGTCTAAGTATCGCAGTCTATACTCATACACATTTTCAAATAATTTTCAACCTACTGGTACTAATCTTCTGATTGAAAACGGAAAGAAAACATTCCGGAGTATTGGAGCATGGTCTAGATAAAGGAACATTGCTTTAGATAAGATATTATACATTATTATATTAATTGAAGATTCTGTAGAAAGAGTAGATGACTTGCAATAAAAACACGCTGAAAATTCCGCATTAAATATAAACTCAGATTCAGAATAAAGTTGCTAACATATATATGCATTACCTCCAAACAACTTCGCTTTTTCGGATCAATTACAAGCATACGTTTCAGAATTTTTTCGCATTTAGTCGACATAAAATATGGTACACGGTAATCACACTGAGTAATACGTCGATGTAATTCCTGAAAATGAAAACATATGACAAACAAAATATACATGAGATAACTTTTATTTAATCAGTAATTAAATCATAACTAATTGGATAGAAAAATAAATTAATACTTAAAACCTGTAAAGAAAAGATAAATTTCAAGCTTGTTGTCACACATCAACAGTAGGCGTATTGTGGAAATTTATGGATCTTTTGAATTCCTTGTCTGACAGATTTGAATACACCTTATATTAGTGAGAAATATTGGTCAAAACACTTTCAGCATGGAAATTTAAGCATCGCTATTTGATTTTCGAGGAATGATTTAACTGCAAAGATTATTTCCAAACACAAATACATACATACAGAAACACACACCGATATCATATCAGAAACCATAGGAACACTGGATAGATAAAGCAGGCAATATGTGGTATAACTACCCAGATGTTAATTACTTTTTTTGACTAATTCCTGTATCACTCTAAGATGAATTCTATCACCATGAAAATGCGATTAAGGATTGCATTATTTCTTAATTTTTGTCTATTTCTCACTTCGTATATTGCTTTAGATGGTGAACACAAGATCTTATAGGCTGATTCAATAAAGCCATCAAGTTTCGATGTCTTCTCAAGGCATAAGTATTTACAAGATTGCATGAACGCCAAAAAAGTAATTCTGTATTGTAGCGGTAGGTAATTCCTTAGAATTATTGGCTTCAGCATTCGTCACTGAATATTGGAAGCTGACAATCATTGTTTTAGTCGATTTGTTTAGCTGAAGGCTTACGGTCAAGCATGCGCGCCATTTGGTACACTGTCGTGTCACGTTCGTGCACAATCCCTACCTAGTTAACTAATCGTCTCACAATCCGATTTGGTCTTGAAATATAGTTCGTAATTTGTACGATCAATTCTGTTGTTTTGCTTTGCCTTTGGTCTACGGGGAACCAATACTATTGGAGTTGTGGTTATTACATCATGCGTCAGTATACTTCATACTATCCGTGAACGTCAGTACTCTCAGCCTCTATAAAATTCACCTTGAGTCGTAATACACAAATTGATGCAAATCAAAGAATACTCCTTGTGCCGAATGGTAGAAATGGTGTTATTTGGTTGGCGATATCCAGCGTTGTGGTCTATGGTTAACCTATCGCATAATTTTGTGATTCTCCATCTGAATCTACCTATATTTTGAAGGATGGTCATAAATTCAGATGTGACGGAAGTACAATGTACTTTTTTGGAATGCGAATGCGTTATCCATTGGCTTGTTATACATGGATTGTTGCAGAATAGCTGACTTGATTAGTCCTCCACAAAAAACCTATTTAAAATACTGATACTTAGTTTGATATTCCAACTAACTCACTAACTTTTACCGTTTTCTCCTCACTTGTTTATCGTTGTCCTAGGATTTGCATTATTTTCACTTGATCTAATACTTACTATTCCTCCTTCTCGGTGATTTCGATTGTTAGCCACTCACTTCGCTATAGGTTAATGGTTGACTATTAGTGATAATGTATTGTTTTGTTTGAATGATTTCAAGGTTGCGCAGTAAAGTTCCTGCCTCACCTTGAACTGTGTGCAAGAAACGTGTCTTGTCCTTTTTGACTCCTACAGACAGAGTTTTAATCCTGTTTTGTTGAGAATACTCCTCTTCTTGATTCTCTGAGACTTCACAGCTGTGTTTGTTTAATTAATTTTTTGTACGGTACACATTTTGTGTCCTTGATTGTATAGTGATGAGTATCTCCGCGTGTCACGTGGAAGGCCCGTGTTCGGCTCCCGTTTTGGGATCCACATAGAGGTGGATTGGCCATATTATGAGAAAACCATCAAGTGGTATAACAAGACAGGCCCTCGACAAGGAACCCAAACGCGAAGCGGAGAGTTGGTCTTCATTGCGAGGGTAACTTGGAGGAGGTCATGTGAAGAGAAGATGAAAACATGTGGCCAGATGTGGAGCCAGGTGGAAACGTTGTCGGAGAACCGAATGCAATGGGGACGTGTGGCCAAAGCCGTATGTTCCTCTAGGAACTGAAGGAAACGATAATAATAATAAATACGTATTTTGTGCCTGAGGAACTTTTGGACTGTATAATTGCCGGATGGCAACCTTTTGTTTTTGATATGTTATTACTGTTCACCAGCGCTGCTTATTCTGTCATTCTTAAATATATTTTGATATTATTTGTATATAATCTTAGAATTTTCATGACTCGCAGAAGTTCAGAAAGCTTTACAGAAGAACTCATTGATTAGTTTCCTGAGTTCAGACCAAAATGCATGGCCTTCAATCATGACACCAAACAATATTTTATTTATCAACATTGCAGGGAAGAAGTTGCTCTAAAAGAAACATATTTTCCATCTAGTACCACAAAATTTAATTAGTGTAGCCTGTAAAGTTTCTTCTTATAACTATACATCTTTGCTTTTGAATCACAAATCAGTGAGATTAGTACATCTATAACTTAAATTATGTAAAAGAGTGCGAAACAAACATTAAAACCACCATAATTATCCTAGAACAGTCACTTCTGTGGTTAAATAGGCAGGAACTCGTATGTAGCCCAGGCACGAATCCCCGCTGATAGTTAACATAGAATTGAGGGGTGGTAAGACGTGAGGAATAACGACCATGCTGCACTAAAACAGCACTCTCACTATAGAACATTCAAGTATGAAGTCATACTATTCACTTGGAAGGCAAAAGAATAGAAAAATAATAATAATACAGCCTCTAGAATGACTTACTTTTAAATCTGTTGCTTCAAACGGTAATGAACCACTAACCAGTAGATATAAAATGACGCCTAATGCCCAAATATCAACTTCAGGACCAGTATACTTTTCTCCATTCAATAGCTCTGGTGCAGCATACGGTGGACTTCCACAGAATGTATCCAACAAGGAACTTGGATCGAAATTGTTTGCAAAGCCAAAATCAGCTAATTTTATATCATTCTGAGCATCGAGTAAGAGATTCTCTGCCTTGTATATTTTTAAGAAATAAAATGTCAAAAAGATCTGATAAATGTGGTATACAGTATGTTGACACATTTATTTAACAGTTGACTTAAGACTAAGTAATGAGTTCTTAAGCTGTGCAGATGTCTGACTATTTTTAGAGAAGGCTACTAATGGTTTTAAATTACTCACAACAAGTTATTGAGAAATAGAATTTGCATAGACCATTTTTATTTGCAGAATTTATCGAATCCGAGTGTGCTATTAGTCAGATGAGATAATCTGTAAACTACTGAAACGTTTTTCTAATGTTTAGACCCCCTTGGTGTTGTCAAATAGCCATACTAACCGGAGTGAATGATTCTAGGTTATCCCTAGTTTCTTTAATTAGTATGTGTCAGCATAGCATTCATCTTCACAGTCGTTGAGTCAATTGCAGTACAGTTGCAGTCAAAAATCTTCATTTGAATATTTCACAAACCATTATAAAGTGTAGTGAGATCGATGCCATCACTTATAACTGTTTGCCTGATTCTCATCTCAGAATGCAAAGAATGCTTTAGGAAGCAGTGAATTTTTCATGAATTGAAGTTTAATAAGTTTATTTCCTGTGAACTCAGAAAGCGAAACATAGTTGTACTACAATGCATTTTTCAGGATGTATTAACTAGGAAGCCGTGACCGGAAGGGTACAGCAGGTTTAAGATAAGGCAGTAACTCATCAAAGAAGTCACTGCGAAAAGGGTCGAGCTATGTCGTGAATTGGCAGAAGTTACAATTCAAGGGCCATTGGATCAGCTTACAAATCGTATTCACAAAAAAACGTCTTAATATATTCCTATGTTCATTCCAACTTTGTTTGTTTTAATGAGATCGATAAACGAATTTATGGTGAGAACCTTCTCAATTTAAAACAAAACTAATCAGTTCTAGATGCCTTCTTCCCGATTTTTAATGGTTTCAACATCATCACATGATCACAACTCATAGCTTGAAATGTCACATTGTTGCGCAATAGTAAAATAAGCCAAAACAACACCCAAAATAATATGGACGTATCTAAACAATAGGTGCAGTTTAACACACTAGTGACATTTATTAACTGTTGACTGGCCTAATTCATTTCCCAAGAGGAAGACGGCTTATTGTTTAACACGGCGAATATTAGCTTAGAGTTCAACTGAGTAAAATATTCGTCAGCTTAAGTTCCGGCAATATCTTAGAGCACATAAATCAATTATTCAGACATTATCATTACCTAGATACCTTATGTATTCACCCTTCGACAGATTTTTGAAAACATGTACACTTATAGGCGTCCAACATGTGCTTTATTTCTTGACCTATCGACCAACAAATGCCGTAGCAGTGTCCCATCGTGAAGTGAATACTGATAGGAAGTATGTAACACTAGTCGTGGCACTCTGCTAGAACTTTTGCATCCATGTTGTAGCTTACGGAGTGTTGTCATCTGAAATGCTGACAACCAGTGGTGTTTAGCAGGGGTGGTCACTATTCTCAAGTCTATTTAATTTATTCATAAATGACGCTAACGAGGCTAACAAACTTTAGGGACTTGGTAACTGACTTTTGACCGGGAGATAGTCTCATCGACTAGGAGAATGCAGATGATATTGCTGTTCTAGACGAAGACGCTGGCAAAATGCAGAGTATTCTGAATATCTTAAGCTGAAATCTTAGTATGTTTGACATGTGATAATAGTATGCTAAGTAGTATAAATTTTAAGCACAGAGTGTTAAGTAAAGAAGAAAAATTGATCTATGAGGTTTGAAGCAGTATGGACCGAGACGATTAGAATAGCTGTTACACATGCTTCTCTTATCGAGCAATGTTAGCTAACATAAGTTAGAGGAGAGTTCTGCATGGTCAAATCAAAACATGGTATCAACTGATCAAGTTTCCAAAAGTTGATTTGGCCCACGTAAGTAGGTGTAGAATGAAAGATTGGTGCCACCGGAATCCTTATAACCAATGACTAGAGACCATTGGTGACATAGCTCACAATCACTGTCAGTAGAGTAGATTTCGTCACTCTTTTTGATCTCCAAGACCCATTAACTCTTAATTTTTTTCTCACGCTTCTATTTCTGCTTCCCCATATTTCCAACCATTGTAGTTCTTTTTCGGTTACTCTCTTTACTTCTGTGTACTACGTGGGGTGAAGCAACTTCAACTGCTGCACTTCTGTGCAAATTCCTATGTAGAAATTCAGTCAGTGATTGAAGGTGGTTAGCAGTTTAATCGAAGATGCGCATTTCTTCGTACTGATGATATTTCAAACGTCTCATAATTATATCAAGTTCTTGATATATATATGATCAGAATAACTGTAGAAGATACAACACTCTTTGGGGGGGGGGTGGGATGGCAAAATGTCAGTCTGAACAGAACACCTACTTTTCAGAAAATTGTATTATAATGAAATATCATATCTCGGCATTAAAATAAGAAATACATGTCTAATAGATAGTAAAATGTTGAAAAACACTGCTATATAAACCCAACAATTTAGACATACCTTCATATCTCTGTGAACAATATGCTTTCGATGACAGTATTGTACAGCAGAGAGTATTTGACGAAATTTTGAACGTGCACCAGCTTCAGTCATTCGACCATTCTTAACAAGATAGTCATACATCTCACCTAACCGAAAAATAGACAGCAACGAGTAATTATTATTCTTTATGTAAAAATCATTATAATTCAAATAAATTCAAATAAAATGAACACGGGTTTTTCAGTTGTTGAGTTTCAAACGGAATGCCAGGCTGAAAGCTTTTGAGCTTTGAAATTTCAGTGGAGATCACTAGCCCCCCAAATGACCTTCCTTCTTTTCCAGGCTTGCTGCGAGGTGTGGGTTGGTTAGCAGTCAAACACTGTTTGCCTTTCTGATTGACAGGTATTCCCCCTCTGAACCAACGATCAACATGGCAAGTGTATTGGCTGGTTTGCTTTTTTATCCAAACGAAGCGAATTGTAGCATGAATTTCAGACCGAATTGTCAATAGCGATATCTTTATTAGTGAAAAAGCTGTCTGACAAGCCATTTACTTTCTTTGTTTGATAAGATCACCAGTAGATACATTTTATTATTATTATTATTCCCTTGGGTTCCGAGTGGAACACCAGGCTTTGACAATACATCTCCACTTTCTTCTATTTTCTGCTGTTCTCTTCAGCTGGCTAGCTCCATGACTGCCTATAATTTCTCATTTAATCCTCCCAAAACGATTTCCTCGATGTAACTCTCGCACCGACGCCCCACTTGTCGCCTCCCACTTGGATTCCACTCTGCGGACAGGCGTGCAATGTCATTCGATGGTTTCATCAATGTATTCCCGATCTATCTCCAAGATGGAGATCTTCTCTTACATATTTGTCGAATGATCCTCTCTTGGTTGGTTTGTTCCCAGCCAGAATTTCTTGTTACCAATTCTTTCTGACCGGCTGGCCATTTGGTCTTCAGTATGGAGTCTGTAACATGTTAGAAATCCTTTTCCTGATACTCATCGCAAGTTGCTGATCCGTAAAGAAGAACTGACTGACTTCACATTTGTGTTGCAAATCCGAATCTTGTTGTTTATGCTGAGTATGGTGTAGAAGATTTCCAAACGGGTTTCATATAGATGAAGGCGTATCTTGTTTTCCCGATTCTGGCTGACTTGCCTTGACGTCTTCATCTGTTGAAACGATGTTTCTTGGACTAGTGAAGGTGGTAACCTCCGTCAAATCTCCACAGTTGATGGTGAGTGTTGCTGGTTGTTGTTGGTCGTTGCTTGTCTTCATCACCTTCGTCTTCTCTATATTCAACTAGAGTCCTTTCTTCATAGTCTACTTCTTCAGCCAGTTTGTTGCTTTTCGCCTGTAGGTCTTCAAGTTTGTGTCATATCAGACATATATCATCTGCGAAATCCAGATGTTCTAGAGTCTTCTTATGGTTGGTCCAGCGTACTCCTGTCTCCTCGCTCCCTACAGTCTGGTGCATAATCCAATCCACCACAATTAGGAATGTCGTGGGTAGTAGGCAGACAGCCTTGTCTTACTCCTGCATTCACTCTAAGGGCCTCGTTGAGTTTCCTATTGTAAATCACCTGTCACGTGGCGTTTCCAAATGCCCAGTTGTTGAATGAGGTTGATAAAGACTTCAGCAATGCAAGCCGTAGTGTTTAAGCAGTTTCCAAATTGCTTTTCAGTCAACACTGCCTGTTGAAGGCCTTTTCGACTGCCATTCTATGTTTTGTTTAGTGATGACGATGCGATTTGATCAGTACTTAATTTGCCTTTCCTGAATCCAGTTTGTTTCGGTGGTTTGCGAAGTTCTATATCCAGTTCATCCAATATCCCCTCCAGGATGATGTGACTTATTATTTTACTTGGCGTGAACAATAGCATGATCCCACATCGGTGCTTGCAGAGTGAGGCCTGAGTCTTCCTTCTTTGGTAGCTGGGCAAGGCAGTCAGCCTTTCTTCCAATCGGTAGGTACGTTTCCTTCCTTCCAAACCTTTTGCAGTAATGGCGTGTGAACATCTGCCGCAGTCTCTGGGTCCGTTTTCAATGCTTCGGGGGAAATTCCATCTGCCTTCCCGTCTGGACTTCAGTAGCTTGATGGCATTTAGGATTTATGCTTTCGTTGGAGGATCGGTGTCCACTGGCAGACGGTTTTGCGCGTGCTGTTGGTGGTGGTGGTATTTTTGAGCGAGTTGCTGGCGATGGTCGATTCAAAAGTCCTTTGAAGTGACCAGCCTATTGTTTTATTTGTTTCTCCTCCTTCGTTATCATGTTCTTTTTGAACGTTTTACTTGCGTTGATCTCTTCCCGGACAGAGGTCTGGTTATCTGATGTAGTGTCCATAGGTCTCTTTAACCTGCCTGTTCTGCTTGAGTTATCCGCCAACGTGTCTTAGAATTGTCTTTTGTCTTTCCTAGCACTCTTCTTCACTTCCTCATTCAGTGCAATTTACATTGAACTTAGCTTCTTCTTCTGCTGTCTATCTTCGCATTGAGTCATCTTCTCTTCGATTATCCTCCTCACCTCTCCTCTATTAGCTTCCAAGTAGGTCTCCGTTGAGAGCCATTCGTTGTCATGTCTCTTCCTTCTTCCTGAAACAGTTCCGCACGTTTCCCTAAATATCGCTTCCAGAGAGTTCCAATGTTCTTCCACACAGGTTTCCTCAGTGATCCCACATAGTCTGTCCAACTTTCTTCTGATCTGATCTGTAGTAAAGGCATCCCTTGTAGTTTTGTCCTTCAGTTCCTGAATATTGAACTTGAATTACAATGACCTGTCTCCAGTTGTTCTGAAAAATTATAGCTCCACCTTGAGGGTTACGTCAACTAGATGATGGTCGGAACCTACATCTGCTTCCCTTCTTCACTCTGTGGCCCCCGGGCTGCGCCTCCACTTTCTTGAGCAGCATTAAGATGAAATCTGTTTGGTTTGTGGTGTTTTCGTCAGGCGAAACCCATGTGGCTTTGTGTATATCCTTGTGCTTTTACACGCTGCCTCCGATGAACAAATCAGTGATTGTGCAGAAGTCTGCGAAGAGTTCTCCGCTCTCATTCATTTCTCCGAGAGCCTCTCGGTGCATGATGAGTTCTTTTGCTGTGGTGTTGTCTGCTTCCAGTTTGGCTTGCATTCATATCGCCCATGAGGATTTTGATGTCACCGTTTGGGATGTTGTCCATTACTGTTTGTAGTTGTCTGTAAACATTTTCATTCTTGTCTTGTTCCGCGTTGTTTGTAGCATTGGATAAATGTTACCTTCCTTCCTTTTGAGTTGAATCTTACTGTCATGATATTGGTTGCGTATTAATGTGTCTTTAATCGGCAAAGACGAACACGTCGTATTCATAAGTTGAGCTTTGTAAAGAAACTCACAGTTAAATATTGAGTTACATTATCAGAGAGATACAGAGTAGTGCAGTAAAGCAAGCACTATCTGAAACTAAGCCATAACATATATCGTATATGTTCTCGGATGTTTGCTAATTGCATGATCGACGGAAATGCTTTTACTGTTATATATTCGATGGACTTGGTATATGGTTTGAGTTGTACCTATGTTCGCCTGATTTGTTCGGTGTAGCACATAACTGTAATACGAGATCAGTTTTCAATGTTTATGGTAACTTCCAAATTATTAAGTTCACCAGAAGATTTCAAGCCCTAAATAAATCTTTTGCACAGCGTTCACTTCCGAATTCAAAAGTTATTATTAATTATACTAATTTTAACCGTCATTTAAGGCACTGAAGATGAAATATATGCCTTAGGGATGGTATGGATAACCTAACCTACACTACAATCTATTTGTACATATGAAAATTAAGTCTCTTAATACATGAGAAACATTCTTACCTTTAGGATTTAGTGGAACCTTTCATAATATCAAATAATCCTTCAATTGTTGTAGTCTATAAAAATTGAACGGGTCACTCAACAGATTATTTTATGAACCATACTATTTATAAGCATGAAATCTTTCTTATTTTGTCGCCAGTATCTATGCTCATCAGGATGAAATTCGTTATGTTAAAAGCAGGCATAATTGCATTATATATGTATATACTACTGTATTTTTGTTGTGGTTGTGTTCTCTGAGCTAGATAGTTATTTTGCGAAGTTTTCATTGCTCTACTAGGTAGCATCTTCAATGCATACTTCAATCTGAAGTGAGCATTTAGATTTCTCTACGAGTTTATTAGTCATTTCTCCAGGTGACCCTGGGGCTGAAGCAATCAGTTCCATTACAAGTAGCCAACCAACCAATCACGTTCAAGGTCACCCATCAAGAGAGAGGACAAATAAACTCATGGAGAAATCTAAAAGCTCACTTCATATTGAAGTATGAACTGAAGATATTGCCTAGTAGGGCAATGAAAACTTCACAAAATAACTAAACAGTTCGGAGAATACAACCACATCAAAATCATCCACCCGAGCTACAAATCTTCTCTATCATATCTAAATACTACTTTGTAACTGATGTGAGTACTACTTGATAGCCATATCAAAGTGATCAAAACCGTGTACGGTTTTGCTGGTCGTCTAGAGCCGAGCTCATGTATTATCAGTTTGTCCTAGTAGCTAGTCAGAGTTCAAGCAGTTCGAACAAGAATTGGCTGTTTGAGCTGAGTTAAGCCAGGTATTCTGTGGATGAGATGACCATCCAGTGTTTAGATAACTTTGATATAGATCTGGACAGCAAACTACTCATATCAGTAAATCAGTAGTATATAATACCATCCATTTATGTCATAGTCAGTATTTTAACTTCAACAACTATGACTTAGCAATCCTCTAAGAGCAGTTTATTGGAAGCGAAAATTGAGTGCATTTGAATTGAGAAGGCAATGATACATTTAATCGATATTACTTACAACCAGCTGGTAATTTTGTATAAACTATACACACTGGTGACGCTGATATCGTAGGGTGATGACACGTGAACTGACTAGGGTAGCTGATAAAGTGACACGTTACAACCCTGGTAATTCAAAACAGATGTAGGCGTGGCTCGTAAGAGAAAGTCAAAAGATTTATTACAGGTATAATAAAACGGATAGTGAGATATGAAATTTTTTTAAGAAAGTCACTTTCAAATACAAAAAGAAACTAATTTAAGTATACAATTTTCCGACTTCTGTGTTGTCTGTTCTTGCAGGTTTTGGAGCAATACAATTACTCGTAACTGACAGCAAAATCTTTCTGGTAAAGATTTTTCATTAGAAGTCAACATTAGCTACAGAGCTAATGGAAACAAAGAGCAGTGATAGCCGTTTTCATCTGACGACCAGAACTAAACTCTAAATTATCGAAGTAAACAATTTATCAATAAGCTAGAATGCACTACAATCCAGTATTCTCAAAATTCGTCAATTATTCGTATAGCTTGAACGCAATTCCCTAACTCAGGTTCAAGAATGAAATCACATACGCGTTATTTAACTTCAAACTAAGAAAATTCCCAATTAAACCTTAGATGTGTGATGAATTGCTTCAGTTGACAGTCAATAACAATGTCGGGAACTACTGTGAGTCGGTGGCACAGAGGTTAGGATTCTCTCCGGTCATCCAACTGGTCCGAAGTTTGATCCCATACCGACGCACACCTGATATCAATTGGTCGGCCTGTAAAATTTGGGCTATCGATATCACATGCTGAAAATTCCATGTTTGTACCGAAAATAGGGTGTAGAATCAAGCCATAATAAAAAAGCTACTTCCTCTTGGTTGGAGATTCCTCCAAACAAGTGTAGGATAGAATACTATCTGAAATAGAACCAAAAAATCAAAAGGTCTTTCAACAAATAATTTACTATTCAACAGTACTCACCATTTTTTGCATATTCCATTACTAAATAAACATGTTTTCCTGTTTCAATTACTTCATATAATTGAACTGTAATGAAAATTACAAAAAAGTTAAATAATTCATTAAAAGTGTATAGCCAATAAAGTAAAAAGTAACTTCTTAAATAAAAAAGACAGTTCTGATTTATTACCTATGAATCTGTGAATACTTTCCAACCTTTATTTTTAAATATGAATCTTTGATGTACATGAATCACGACTCTCAAGTGATTTCTCATGATCAAATAAGTAGTGTCAAAGCTAAGTGTTGTGTTTATTATGTATGTCATTGGAAATATTAACCATTTAAGCTCTCTTATAGCTATCAAATCTGTTCTATCAACGTCCGAGGTAAAATCACCTCGGATTTCGGTAATGGGCAGAACAACTAGAAAGTTGAAGGAGTCCCGCAGTAACTGAATAATAACTCGGTGATCAATTCATCTGCACTTACAATGTGTTCCCTTAACCGTCTTTATCAAAACAAAGAGTCTCTTAGCTTCAACTTTAGACGACCTAAATATACATAGGATTAACAAAATAAGAACATACGTATTAATATATGTGTAAAACTTGGGCACTGTGGTAGTAATTCCATACCTAATAAACAAACTAATATGGAATTAAGAACCTACATTTTCCACCTGTTAACAGCTGACGTGTTTTGCAGCCCTTTCCAAATTTTACTATTATAGACGCTCATCATGTGAGATGGCTCGTTTAGGTTGTTACTGTTTGTGCCCTTCTTCCAAGACTGAATAGCATCTACACTCAACTACTTTCTATATTTGCTAAAAAATGTGAAACTACAAGTGTTGTGCGATGAGTCCTGAAGACTGTGGGTCACTTTATTAATTGATAGGCAGATAAAAATTGATCAGTATGCCAAGTTTATTCAGTGCTGATTTCTCACTTATTTCACAAAAGAGTAACACAGAATTGAGAGTTACTGACTGGAATTCCAAAATAGGCTGTTTGAGTGTTAATAGAACCCTTAGTAATGTAAAAGTGATTTACATCAAAACGGTGACAGCTGTTGTGGTGTTTATATTAGCAATGGTGATTATGACTAAGATAGTGATGTCAGAGTCAAAATGCGAAAGGCGAGACCAGTTTATTATTAGGAAATTAGTGTAGAGATCTGCATTACACCACTCAGAGAAGGAATTAATATATGCATTTTAAACAGTACTGTAAAGTCAGCGCTTTTATATGGTTCAGAGACCTAGGAAGTTACCAGAAGCATACCTTCTTCAACAGCTGCCTTCACCATCTCTATGTTGTAGTAGGCGCGAACGGATAGATAACGAGTGACCCTGGTAACGAACCAACCGATGACTTACTAAGCAAAAAATATACGGGAAAAATGGAGATGGATTAAGCGCACTCTAAGGAAACAGAGCTCCAGGTGACGTTACACCCCACATCTCCGAGTATAACCCGAACAAGAAATGATGAGTTGAGCCTCAGAGAGAGTGACATGGAGGAGATTACATGAGACGAAGATGAAACTTCATCGGTGGCCATGGAACTAGCAGAAACCAGAGGGAAATAGCGATGTGCTGCTGAATCCCAATGCTCTACTCGGGATTGAATGCCCAAATAATAGAATAGTAAAAGTTTTCACTAGGAATCCAATATTCCCATCTAATAGACACTGACCATGTTGTGGACAATCTCAGGACATTGAAAATAATCAACAGACAAAAGAAACCTAACCTGCCTTGTTTCGCTGAGACAATCACCAACAAACGGCTAAAACCAAATATATATATATATAAAGAGACATTGGTGAATCGTGCCCTGTCTTGGTGATAACAAAGCATACAAATTTCAATACCCCATCTTCTCTCCTCTTTAGAAACCTTGATCTTTCCGTCTAAATATGACTCATCCTATCCCACCTTTCTGCTTGTTTTGAAAAAACATGGTTTTTCTACGGTTGCATAACCAAATTTTATACTCTATCTGTTTGAACTTTGTTTCTATCTACAAAACATCCGCTGAACTCCAAGCTTAATCATGCAATTGTTCTATAAATATTCAATCCTTTTCACTGTTAATTATCTAACGACTAACATCGTTCCTGGCCGATGTTACTCTTAGTTTCTATCAACTACTCCCTATCATTGTAAAAAAAAAGTATGTTCAGATCGTTAATTTAATTTATAAATTTGGTATTGTTCAGGATGTAACCAGTTGAGAAGAATCCACGAAAGAATAACAGAAATGAGTTCGAATTATCCTGGTACATTTGTTGTTCTTGCTTTAATCAAATTCCCCTGTATGGTTATCGTGTTTATTACGGAATCCATATTAGAAAAGGTTTTTCGTAAGCTAGTTAGTTTAGATGCTATTCACTTGATTCAAGGTTAATTCGCATACCCATCAGTTCTGTTTGCTTGCTTGCTTGTTTGAAGGCTTAACTTTCTGCTAACTGTTTCAACACAATTAAACTAACTAAAAATACTTACAAACATGTATGATTCACTGAAGAGTAAAGATGAGAATTCTAAAACGGTCTTTTTGAAACGTAACCACCTCACTGATCAGATAGATAGTATATTGATATCAGACCAAAGAACACTACAATGAATGAATATACGTACGCATATATAAATGTAATAAACTCTGATCAATTTATTACCTAATAAAATAAAGTATCTTTATCTACTTCATCTACTTCAATAGTGCCAAAGAAATTACAACTTTGTTTTTATTACTGGACATGATCAATAGTAAATGGTTTTGTTTTAATTTATTAATGACCATAAGAGCGTCAATTAAATTTATAATTAGATACACTATTCTGATTATTATCAGTAAGTCTAGATATTGAGTGTTAATGGTTCTCTCTTCATCTATTCACTATTGATCTTAACTAAATTAATCACTACAATGTTAAAATGAAATGTAATAACAAAAATTGTATTGCAGATTTACTAATGATGTACAAGTGAAAAGCAACAAGTTGGCAGAAGAAGCATCCAGAGAAGATAGGCCTTTAGGTGAACATAGAGAAAACAGAGGTGATTAAGATTCCTGGCCAACAGCAACAACACCAACAGACAACAGTCACCACAAATGGGAGAAATTCGAAAGAAGCAACCTCCTTTACCTACCCAACCTGGGAAGCATCGTTTCAACTACAGACGGACGGAACTGATGAGGATATCATCAAGGCAAGGATCGGGAAAACAAGACAAGCTTTCATTACTCTCAAGTCTGTGTGGAGGTCAACAGCACTAGAAATGAAAAATAAGATCCGAATTTTCAGCTCCAGTGTGAAATCAGTGCTTCTTTATGGATGAGAGACTTCGCGCGTTATGAAAGGCATCTCAAACAAACTACATTTTTTCATTAAGAGCTATCTTCGCTCAATACTCAATATGAGATGGCTGGCCAGAAAAGATCAGTAACAGGGATCTCTGACAATGGGCAAACCAACCCAACAGGAACCGATTATGCAACAAATAAGCGGGAAGAAATGGAAGTGGATTGAACGTACTCTGAGAAAACAATACAACAATTGGCATCGCAAGACGGACCATTGAGTTGGTCGTCGTTGTAAGGGTGACATTTAGGGCGTCATGTGAAGAGGAGATAAAAACATGTGGGCAGAAGAGCCTGGTGAAAACGTTGGCGGGAAGCGAATGCAATGGAGGGTGAAGCCCTATATTCCTCTAGGAACTAAAGGAAACAATAATAAAAATGTAATAACAATAAATTCATAGTCTAGAAACTAATAAATCCACTTTATTATGCCGAAAACCGAAAGAAATTTTGATTTTCAGTTTCTTCTATGAGAATTTTACTTAGTAACTTATATGGTGGCTGTGGTAATTTGAAGCTAAGTTTGTTATGTCATGTTTCATTCACCTGTATCAATAAGTCTTTTAAAGTCTGTGGTTTTGGTTGCATTTTTAAATTACATTAAATCATTGGAAAAGTTGCCTTTCAGTCTCATTAGTTACTTTAGTAATTTTAGTTTTGTTGCATAACACCCACAAGTTACAAATTTCAAGTAAATAGTTTCACTAGCTCTGGGTGGTTTTCTTTCATCAGTTACCTAAAAAGTTGGGTTTAATTTAAGAAACAAATTTCACTTAGCCTTATTAAGCCATAGTTGTTCTTTTTTTATTTTACAATAAATAATGCTCTGTAGAAAAAGGATTCATAACTAGTCTTTCAACAGAAACTTTATTGTTAAAATGTTTTGATATCACTGAAAATATCTTAATGAGGAAAGTGATTTACATTTTGCTGAGCGTCTATTCATCGTAGATACAGTGTTTTAACAAACATGGCATCATGATCGGTACAATTATGATTCCCAATAACCAGAATGAGAAGTGACAACTTCTGAGTGGATTCCATGCTGACATAGGAAAGGTTATTAGGAGATATTATGAAGACTTGTGGACAAGCTAGAAAATACTCCAGAGAGAACATGAATATAACTTAGATGTACTGCTTAAGTTTTGTATTCTACTCTGATTATATGGGATGAATAATGTATAATAATAATATGGTAAAATAAAAAATATATCGTAGAGTTATCAGGTTTTATATTCTGTTCTCGAATCACATCACCTATCGTTCTTTTTTTTTCCTTCACGTTCCCAGTGGAACATAGGGCTTCAAGCTAGCGGCTTGAAGTTTCTGTAGCAGTGTTTATTTTTACGAGGTGGGGTTGCTAGCCTCATCCTCAACCCTTCCTCTTTACCAGCATTATTTCTGGCTTAGCGAGGTAAGGGAGTACGTCGGCCGGAGATCGGACCCCGGACCATGTGCATGATCGGCAAGCGTCATAACTTCTATGCTACCGACGCACATTGTTCATTTAGAGACCCATTTTTGTGCATGATAAGAAACTTCTGTAAAATTATTGTATCCTTCACAAATCATGTTTGGTTATAACAAATTGTGTACTTACCGATATTTGGATGATTGATAGATTTGATTACCTTCACTTCCCGTAACAACTATGGGGTAAGAAGAAAATAAGAGAATTAAAAAAAATATGAAGTTTTAAAGCTAAGTATTACCAGAGGATGTTTTAACCTGATGTGGATACGAAATCAAGTAGTAAACTTACTTTTCTCCTCTTAGGTGGGAACAGAAATAACTGTAAATGTTATTAGATTTTTAAGGTTTAGTCTTTGAAGATTCACTTACTTAGCGAGGATGGGTCGTTAGTTAGCCTTCCTCTCGACTTTCATTCTTTTCCATATTTACTACAGGTTCTCATGGCCCAAGTGGTCTAGTGGATAACGCTTTGGCGTTTGAAACTAAGGGAAATTGGTTCGAGCCTCAAAGGGAACATCATCACTCTCTGGGAAATGCAGGTACATCCAGTAGACGAGTCCCAAATAGGACGAAATACGCATTCTGGATTCCACTGCTGGTCACCACCCACCAATCAACTTCTAATTACATGTCCAGCCATCCTCGAAGCATCTGCACAAGAAGCCCATATGTCAACCTGAGACCGAGCACTTCGGTTCAATCAATCGACGGGAAAATCTCAAATTCAACTAAATTACTATAGGTTAGGCGAGAATGAGGAGTCGAACCTGAACTACTGATGCACTTCACTTAACTCAGTTGATTTTAATCAACAACCTGTGTGCTTTCGTTTGAACTTGTAGACTATATCAGAGGTATTTTGTTTTTCATGTCTGATTATCTGAATATTTTAACTATGAAGATATCGATGACAGGCATTCAGTATTCGACATTTGGAATCGAGTTTGTTTTCACTCTGAAGACATAAATTTTAGTCTGTCAGTGTTTGTCAACTGATCATAGTTTGCGCTAAAATATCAATTTTTAATCGGAATGTTTCACATGAACTTTGTTAGGCTGTGAAGTGTAATAATGACGACACTGCATAAGTAACTTATCATGTTTAAAGTTTTCTTTACGAATCTAGAATAATGAAGTGATGGATTACCTTGCAAATATGGCAGTTTAAACAACCTCGAAGAACAGTATACAAAGTATGCCAGACAATAAGAAGCAGAATACGAAGAACCTATGCTAACGGAAATTTAAGTGCAAGATTTCTGCGTTTCGTAAATATCTTTTTATATGATTTGCTAAATATAGACACGCTTATGCCAGAAAATCCTCGTGCTTTCTGCCACCACAGAACATAAGAATTAAGACTCAGTTATGTATATCGGCGTCTTTCATTTTTGCTCTTGTGACCATAATTTATGCTTCCAGATACAACTGCAGCTAATTCTGCTACTAATACTGTGATGAGAGCTGTCTGCTAGCTAAAATTTGTAGACAGTAATTTACGTCAATGTTTACGTCCCAAATCATGGTCATGAGAAAAAACAAGAAAAAGACTTTGCGTGGGTGGATACGATTCGCAGATATAGGGTCTGAGCATCAAGGAAACGGTTACAAAGAGATGACAGATAAACTTTCAGAGGGAAAACAACCAATCAGAAGACTCTGTGTCTCTGCCAACAATAACGTATAATAATGTACATAAAAATCCATAAACATCTGTTAGTTTTCTAAATAAAGATCTATTGTCTGGCTCTTGTCTTCTGTCGTCACAGTACTACCAACATAACTGTCATTAATACTACTCACATTATTTAGATGATGAGAAAGATAGAGTTCAGGGTGGACAGATATCATGACAAGTCTGCTCCCATGTTGCCCTTCAACTGAATTTCAATAAAGGGGAGTCTCAAGTAAATTTTTAAAAAATATGGATTTATTTTCAAGTATTGGTTTTGTAAGGATTTTTTTGATTGCATAGAGTATTTCATCATGAGCTGACATCAGTTAGAGATTCAATGGAAACCAGAGAGTACTGGACAACTGTTTCGTCCTAACTTGGGTGCGTACTGATGAAGAGTCCCAAGCTGGAACGAAACAGCCGTCCAGTACTCCCAGGTTTTCCAGTGGTTCTCTAATTAATGTCAGCTCATGATGAAATACTCCATGCAATCAGAAAATATGGATTTGTACATTTACCTAGTTAGTGTTATATCACATTAGAAAATACATTAAAATTAAACTGTAGGGATCGATTTCGGTCAGTGTAGTAGTGTTATAAACTTTGTGAATGACTCAGTCGTGGTTTGCCAAATACAAATGGTATTAAACGATTTCATCCTCGAAATCTGTACAATCGCATTTGGATACATAATTTTACAAAAATCCAACGACTACACTTTTATAGTCCCTCATGATGATTCTGATTTAAATTGTATCCCACAATAATTTAATAATTGCCACCTCTCAATTTAATTCACAATGGAATTAAAAATGAATCAAAGATTTCATTTCTAAACGTAGAATTGAGAAGAAAGGATGATAGAACTCTAAATAGATCTATCCACATAAAACTGTCATAGAATGGCCGAATGACAGACTTTAATAGTTGGATATCTGTGAGTCGTATAAGAGTTCTCATCATGTCACCCGGTCAACACTTTAGAAGAACTTCCAGCAGTTAGTGCTCAGAAGAAAAGCTGTTGTTTCTCAAAAATATCCTGGCTGGTTCAGTAGAGAAGAATACGCATTCCAAGCTGAAAAGAGAAGAATGCAATTCACCGCCAAAGAAAATACTATGTATGCAACTGGACTTAAGTAGAAACTTAGGGACAAATATCCCTAAAGAGGACAGATTGTAGTTCCCTAAAGAAAATAATTTTTTGCAGCAATACTGGGAATGATACTGTCTAAGCGCCCACTGCTTCTAAGCAATGTGAAGGACAAACTTCCTCACAGGACCACTTTAATGTGTAGGGCTAGGTATACACAGAGATCGTTCTATATGCGTCCTTTCAAAAAGTGTTAGGAAAAGATACTTACTGTGGCTGCAACGAGAAGACACTGGTTCAGTCAGTAACTCGATAACTGAACACGTTGTTAGCACCTTTTAGAGCTTCTCGAATGAGTCATAATTCAGAGCTATTTACAAATTATGATGTATATACAATTATATACGATGGCTGAATACTAGTTAGTAACTAGTGTAATACGTCTAGTCCTTAATTTGGTGCAGACTCTATTCTATCAATCACGTTTGCAATGTGGCGGCTCGCCATTTCGGTGCGCTCTGAACCATTGATACTGGATGGTTGGAGCCGATCAACAGAAAGCCCTGTGTGAACGAAATTCCGTGCTAGTTGGCACTCGTTAGCAAGAAGTATCCACAATCTTGAAAGAAATCGAAGTATCCAATCCAATCCTACAAGTGGTCATTCATAAGTCCAAAGGGCTCAGTAGTAACGTCTCTGACTGCAGCACTCACTGAGTGACGCGAGTTCGGATCTCAGAAGGAAGATGAGTTTCTTCAAGGTTGCAGATACGTCTGGTTAACTAGTGCTAACTAGCACGAAATTAAGGTCCAAGGCTTCTGATATATATCCATATAATATGGGTGTTTTGCTTGACAGTCTCACCTTGGTGATATTTATCCATATAATATGTATGTTTTGCTTGACAGTCTCACCTTGGTGATATTTATCCATATAATATGTGTGTTTTGTTTGACAGTCTGTCCTTGGTGATATTTATCCATATAATATGTGTGTTTGTTTGACAATCTGATATATTTTGCTATGTATATATAGATCGATATTCCATTAAAATTAGCCAATCATGTTAAGACTGTCTATTGATTTGTTCATTTTGAATATTCGCTCACACACTTATGTTCACACACTTGTTCGGACATTCATATATTTATGCTCTCACACTCTTGTGTGATATTGATTCTCCTTGTGTTCGGAAAATAGAAGTATCATCGCAAACCTACTGGTCTTCTGATTTCCGTCTTTCTTGCGTCAGGACTACTAAATTCTCGACCAGTACATAACAGCTTTCCATCAACTGCCTCCAGCCCTATAATACTCATGTACATAAACGTGGTTGTACAGTTTTTGTGGATGAAATCACTGAAAAGATACCTTTACTGAGCTTCTTGTTCATTTTTCTCTAATGTTCTGATTAGTATCTTCCACGATTTGAAATACAAACGATTTAATTTCACTTTTGTCAGTGAAATACATCGAACAACCTTGTGTTGTATAATTCTGAGTAAACTGATGGTTCTAAATGATTGCTATCAACTTTATATTGTCTATATCAGGTGTATCAAAATAAAAATTAATAATGCGGTTAGAAATAGAGAGTTACATAAGGCTAAAAAGCCAAGCAATCAGGCTGTGAACCTTATCCATTAACGTCAGTAGGATATTTACTGGGCACACCAAAACACCGCCCTCCTCAATAAGCAATGTTAGTTGGAAGAAAATTAGGGGCAGTCAGGTCGAAAAATGACACAAATGCACAAAGTCATGACTCCTAGTCCTGAACCATATGAGAAAGTGTTTATCGACAGCATGGGGTCTTATGATGCTAATCATCAATAGCTAGAAGCTCCCACTGATAAAGATAGTAATAATTTGCAACGATCCAGACGTATTCACTTTTTCACAGTCTTTCAGACTATTATTTTGTTATGTTTCCCATCTCATCCAAGTCTGTCTATCTTAGCATCACTCCCCTTTTATTACTTGTGTTGTAAATTAACATAAAGCATTCGGAGACAAAGTTCTAGGTTGATCGAACGGTTGGTCAGTCGTCACCTTAAGTAGGTTTTGTATTAAAGCCATATTAAAAGAATAAGAACATTATTGAGGACCCATTTTTAGGCATAGTTTCCCCTCTAAGTTTACCAATATTGTACAGTCTATCTTCTATGCATTTAATCATTAAACTCAACTCAGTTATTTTCCAATAAATTCGAATGTTTAGACCTCAGCTAACAAACTCAATAAAAGAAAAGACGCTCAGCAAAGAGTTACTGTTTTCGACGATATCATTCTCAAAGCTGTACAACCGCATATATATATATAGTTTTTTCATTAGAATTTTCAATTTTAGCTAACAAATTAAGTATTATAGAAGGCGGTATTCGGTTGGGAACTAAACTAAAATTATTAGA